ACAAGACCTCCATACATGCACAGATTTGTCTCCAATCAATATATTAAATTCTCAACAATTGTTTAAACTTTCAACACGCATATTCAAATCTTTGCCATGGTCAACCCTTTGTCTTCTCACGATGTGGTATGCAATATTTAACATCCAAGTTTTAGCACTTAGTATTTTTCAACTCTTATTTTTTCAAGCACCTAATGAATTATCTATAGGGTTATCCAAAAGTATAACATTCTAAACATAGCTAATTTGCACCTAATTATGTAACACTACTTTTGTTTATGTACAGGTAAACATGAAGTTATTTTTTAAAGCAATGATAATTTCTTTGTCAATACTATTGTCGCTTCCAAGCATAGTATACTCAACTTATCAAAATCATATCAAGACAGCTACTTTCATGTCTGAGAGTTTTGAAGTAAGGCCAGGATTGGTTGCAGCAAAAACATTTATGAATATTGAGTTTCCAAGAGGGCATATTGGAGTCAAGAGTTTTGATGCGGAACTAGTTGATGAAGATGGAAATTCCGTACCTTTGTATGAAACTTATTTTCATCATTGGTTTGCTATAAGATACTTTGAAAACATTACTTTTTCACCTCACCCTGAGCTTAGTCAAGATTTTCGTGAGGCTTTTATTTACAAAAGAAATGATGGCCCATGTAATGAATATATTCTTCCACATTATTGGGGCTTTGGAAGTGAATCTCGTGGAACAATCTCAAATATTCCTAATCCTTTTGCAGTAGAACTAGGTAACCCTGCAGAAATTCCAAAAGGATATGAAGAGAAATGGTTGTTCAATATTATGGCCATTGATACGCGTGGGGTACAAGATAGGAAAGGTTGCAGTGAATGCAGATGTGACCTTTTTAATCTTCCAAAAAACTTTTATAATGTCTCAAGGGATATTCATGGCCAACCATTGAGCACACATTATAAGGGTGGACTCTTTTGTTGTCTAGATAACCTACAATGCAAATTAAGAGAAGGTTTTCAAGGTCCAAAGAGAAGACTTTCCATTAGATACAAAATAAGGTGGGTTGATTGGGACAAATATCAAGTACCGGTTAAGGTTTACATACTTGATTCAACTGATAGAGTGAGATCAAACGGTTCCAAAACCATCCATGATTGTCAGGTAGATAAGTTATTCAAGGCAATATTTCATTTTAAAAAAAGTATATTATTTAACCTAAATTTAATTATGAATGTAGTATGTCTTTTAGTTTTATTAAGAGTAGTGAACAATAGAGATTTTTTAATGCTCCTTGCAGGCTGAATACATCATTTTGGCAAATCATAGTAGTGACTCTCCTCATGTCCAAAAGGCAATTATCCCATTAGAAAAAGGTGGTTATCTCATATATGGCACCGCTCATATGCACACAGGTGTTGTCAATGCAACTCTTTATGGACAGGTGATGTACAATATTTGCCATAATTATCATATCCTCTTTATTTGTTGTAATGCATCTTCACTTCTAAATATGTTTTTTTATTAATTTAGGATGGAAGAGTTTTATGCACTTCAACACCTAAATATGGAACAGGAAAAGAGGCAGGAAATGAAAAAGGTTATGTAGTTGAAATGTCTGTTTGTTATCCACAACCTGGTTCAGTCAAAATTAATGATGGCGAAACCTTGACTCTAGAGTCTCGATATAAAAATGAGTTTCGTACAGGGGCTATGGGACATTTTTACATTCACTTGGCAGAGCAATTATCGCATGAAAATGTCAAAATTTAATCTAGACATGAAATGTTTCACACGGAAGCTATATATGTCTTCACCTAATAGTTATATTAGCTTTTGAGATATTTTATTTATGGCAACATAAATATCATCATTTCTTGTTCTTCCATATTGCTTGATTTAGAATTTCTTTATTACATATACCACCAAGTGAAGCATAAGTGAGAAAATAACATAAAATAACAATTTGAATTTATCTTCTTTTCATTCAATATTCATATATTTGATCTATCAAAGTTGTATTACTATTGTTCTTTTTTTTTCTTTTTTAGCAAATATACTAAGTAATATATGTTATATCAGTTTACCAAGAACTAGCACATTCTATTTTTAACAAAATTTCTTGTTTAACACACAATTAAATCTCTATTTTTTTTAGTATTGTGGTATTTTCTAAGTATATATCTCTCAAAATATTCATAAAAAAATTGTACAAACTAATCTATTGACTGTATTACAGTGAATAAAACATGTTTTTATTAGTTGTAAATTATCACAACGTGCTTGTTTGTGAGTATCATAATAGAAAAGAGTAAATATAATACAATGGAGTCTCACAATTTTTGTCTTCAATCATAAATGAGAGAATAGAGAGTCATGCACGTCTTCTATTTCTAAAAGTTAGATGCATAAAGAAAAATAAAAAGAGAAAGATAAAATATATAACTTTTATGTAAGGTGCTTGCTATTCCACAACTTTATCCTATATTTATAAACTTTCAACATAATTTTATTATTTTAAAAAATTTTTATTAGATAAAATTACCTTCTCATATACAATTTTTATATATATTAAAACTTACAAATCTTTACCTTTATGATTTTTAGATTGACAAAACTATAAATATTTATTTCACATACAATTATTCAAATTTTTAATACATCCAAATTATTATATATTGTTATAGCTAGTATGTAAATATAAAATAAATTTTCATATTTATAATATATTTGTTTATATTTTTTTTTCAAATTTGTTAACTGGGCCTTAAATAAATATCTTCTTTAACCTCCAATAGTTGAGATGCAATTAAAGTTCACAGCCACGACCAAAGAATAAACTAGCTAGCCACAAAACTATTTGTGCTTCTTTATATGTTTTTTAATTGTAATAAAATAAAAACACATAAAGAATCCTCAAAGTTTCACAAATTCTAGATTTTGAGCCATTTAAGGAACTGAAAGTGACATTAATTATTCTAACCATAACATCAATAAAATGGTTCTACAAAGATATTTTGCGACAGTAAAACAACAATTATCTATACAAAACATAACATCAATAATATATACCATTATATGCGAGATTCGATCAAAGATAAAGACATTATAATTAAATATTGTGCTTAATAAGAAGATTGAATAACAAATATTTTTATGAAACTAGTTATAAAGACTCAATGGGCTCACTTGTTCAAGAATGATCCAAGTAAAAATAAACAAAAATCGATAATGTTCCTTTACTTTTTCAATTGGATTAAAAATAATTAAAAAATAAAGGATAAAATTATTTGTAAAGTATAAAATAATTTTTTGCTTGCCCAAAAACAAAAATAAATAAATAAACAAACATAATAGCAAGTATATATATATATATATATATATATATATATATATATATATATATTATCAAATGATAATCTAAAACGAGTAAGCATATACAAGAGAATAAAAAAGAACAGACTTGAGTGTTCTACCTAAGTCTTCTACAATAAAAAAATTAACTCATATCCGAGATCTTGACTGGTTCTTGCAGCTTTTGGAATTCACAAGAAATTGTTTCGTGTGGCATTGATAAATGTGATCCTAAGTTAATGATGAAATTAATGATGCCGCTGAAGGAAAATATATGTTTGATAAAAATTAAGTTTCTTGGCAAATGGGAGCATTTCATGGGCAAAATAATCAGCACCTATAACTGATAGTTTTTTAATGTAAGTAAGATGAATAAAATAGTTGAAATATATTAATAGTAATAGTTGAAAATAGTAGTTGAAGTTTTAACAAAAGACTTAAGAAATGGATAATTGATAATTTGATTAATTCTTCTTATTTTTATAATGAGGTAACATGCCTATTTATAGGTATTATTCACCATTATATTTAGGTGGTTTAATATTCTAGAATTATCTTGAAACTAAAGAATTTACAATGTTATAAAACTCTCTCTAGAAATATCTATAAACTAAAAGATAGAAATAATTTTTCCTAAATTGTTTCATATAATTTTTTAGACTATTCTAAAAATTTATATCATTTTCTAATAATAGCAATAGGTTGTGATTGTTGACTTAAAAGCATAAAGGATAGATGGTAGAGACTGAGACATTGAAAATGGAAGTTTGAGTTTGGGGACAGTGTCTTGTGGAAAGTTCACTGGTGGGATAGCAATGGTGTCTATGTTAAGGGCAGAAAGAGCAGCAAGGATGGATTTGGAGGCATTTGAAAGAGAGTCCAGTGTTGGAATGATGAATCTGATCCTAAGTTAGAATGGCTGACAAAAGGAACTGAAACTAATTGCTAAGTGAGTTCTCTCCATGGAAATTATATGAACCTTGGTTTATTTGGCTTTGTGTTTTCAATGGTGTTAATTATCACAGATTGTTAGGATAATTATAAGCATCGAACTTCAAACGGGTAGCTCTAAAGTTGTGTTGATAATATAGCTATTCAACTTGATTGGTCTTTCATTAATGCACTAAATCCCCCATTTAAGATTGGTTCCCCTATAAGATTTTTTAATCAACAAAAATTATAAAAAGAGGTATTAAATTTGTCGTTTTTTGTGTGTTCATATATAGAGATAGGAAGAGAAGAAAAAGAACAGATAAATGAAATAGCAAAACTAGTGATAAAGAATATTAAATGATTATTAATATTATCAGATTATTTATAAATCAAAATTATATTATTGCTTTAGTATTTGACAAAAAATATAATAGTATGTAGAGTCAATAAAACAGGCATATAGAACTGGGTTGGCCTGCTCAATAAAATATAAAGTGAGTTTTAAAATTTGAACCTGAATTAAATATAAATTTTTTAGTTATTTTGGATGAAGTTTGATGCGGCATATTATTGTAAAAAAAAAATAAATAAATAAATAAAAATTCTTGTATATAATTAATAATGTAAAATAAAGTTAAAGAATTAAAATTAGAAAGTTTTTATAAAAGATATTATGACTGCAAATGCGTAAACCGGAAATTCCTATCTATTTTATCTTTTCTATATATAAAAATTTTGATCACTTGTGCAGGAGTTTTAGCGCTAACTGTGTTAAAGTCCTTGTTGAAGATCCATCTTCCTTCAACGCATCATTAGCAGCACTTTTCAATTTTTTCATTCTTTGGCGAATTTCCTTACCTTCTTCTCCTACCATTAGATTCTTTATGACCTCAGCTATCTCTTCCCTTTCCACTATACCCTTCTCGTTAAGTTTAGGCCTAATAGCCACTTTCAAACCATTGGTTAGCAAAACTGCATTCATCTTTTGCTCAGCAAAGAGTGGCCATGCTATTAGTGGAATACCATTCACAACACTTTCTAGTGTGGAATTCCAACCGCAATGGCATAGGAACCCACCAATTGCACCATGACCAAGGATTTGAACTTGCGAAGCCCAATAAGGAACTACCAAACCATGCCCTTGTGTTCTCTTCAAAAACCCATTTGGTAAAAACTCAAAAGGGTCCTCATTTTCAACACCAATGTCAGCAATAATGCCAAACTTATTAGGTGGTCTTAACACCCATAAAAAGTTTTTACCACTCAATTCCAAACCCCAAGCAAGCTCATTTATTTGATCATGAGAGAGTGTCCCACCACTTCCAAAGGAAACATAGAGCACAGAATTTTGTTGCTGCTTGTCCAACCATCTCAAATATTCAATCTCACTTCCTTGATCACATGACCCCTTTTGTACGAAAGGTCCAATTGCAAGAACAGAAGGGATTCCTTTACCTTCTTCTTGCTGCAAGGCTCTTATGGTCTCTGCTTCCATTTCATAAAAGTTGTTAACCAATATACCATCAGCTAAATAGAACCTTTCATTAGCTTCAAGAAACTGCTTGTATGCTTCACCAGATCGATTTTGAAGTGGGTCTGGGAGATCAATCCCCAGAATTGGTATGCAACCGGGAATCTCAACAGGTTCTAATAGGTCTTTGTACTCACAAGAAATTTTCTTGTCTAGCATAGAAGAATACAAGCACAATGCTAGTAACATAGCTGTGGATGGGAAATATGTGAAGGACAGTATATTGAGTTCTTTGCCAAATGGTAACACTTCTGTTATTAATCCATCAGCAATTACTCCAACAAGCTTAGATCTAGAATGTAGTTTCTTCAATGCATCATGGATTAGAGGTAGGGAACGAGAGATAGTCATTTGAACTTGGATTGCTGGGTGAATGTCAAGTGGAAGATCCTCCAACTTTATTGGTGGTAGGAACATGGAGTCTATGGTTGAGGGAAGGGAATCAAAAAGGGCTTTGGTGTTGTTGCAAGGTGAACCAAATGTGGGGTTGATGCATGTGACATGAATGTCTTGGTGGAGATGAACTAGTCGCTTGGAGAACTCAAGAATTGAGCGTAAATGGCTATATACTGGGACTGAAACTATGGCTATGTGAGTGAGGGGCTCCATGAAAATGTAATTTTTGATCACTTGATGTGGACTTTGTTTATAGAAACATTGACGAATTTATAGAGATGCAAGTGTTGTGTACTCTCTCTCTCTATCAGTTCGTAAGGATCGTTACACTTTGGAAATACAACCTGAAGGTTGCGAGATTGAACCGTACACCATAAATGGTTTTAAAGGTGAGATTCTGTTATACATCTTCATTTGAATTCATGTTTTATGAAGAGGTAATGTAATTAATAATTACATGCGTTTACTAAAATCTCTGAAATAAAGTGAGTTACGTAAAAATATCATTGAAAAATTAGTAACTTAAACAAAAATAGTGGAATTTACAAGATTTTTTACAAAAGGTCGTCTTCGTTCATAATTAGAAAGGTCATATTAGTTATACAAAACATGCCTTAAAGCAAGTTATTTTTGAAAAGAACTCTGGTATCTCCTTTTTATTAACTTTTTTAAAACTACATCTTTTGATTCATATTTTTACTTAATGATTGCAAAATTTTGCACCGATTTTACTTTTTCCTGTCTAAAACTTTTTTGGGATACATACAAGAGTCACTAACAAGTCATTTAGACAAAGAGAAAGGAAAATGGATCCACAGGCCATGGTGCGTGATATTATTCAGCCACTAAAAGATCGACGATATCTTAAGCATTGTAGATTGGTGAGTGCACTTAGATGGCAATATTAGTGTTGCCATGCTGTCAAAAATGCTAATTTGGTTTTCTTTCCTTCTTCTTTTTTTTGTTCACTTTTATAGATATTTGTTCCCACATTGTATAAAAGGCACAGGTATTGTTATGTACTAGAAATGGCTGCAAAGAAATTGTATGTCTTAGATTCCTTACTCCGAAAGCAGCCTTTTTACTGGACAACCCGGTAAATATCCCCATTTTTCACCTTCAATATGCACATAAATCGCTAGATTAACTGCAGCATGTTCTCGTCATTTTATTCTAATGTGTATAGTAGAAAGAAAGCCTACAAATAGGTTTTAGGGAACTTGATCCTGAACTCACAGATGTTGATCTACAGTGAGAAATTGTCCATGTTAAGTAGACAAGCAATCAACTCCGTGAGTAATTACAAAACAACGCACATTAAGGTAATTTTACCATTGCCCATCAACGCCAAACTTGTAAAATTGTGAGTAACTCACCTTTCATAATAAACATAAGGGATTATAACCTGTCATAATTTGTTATGTTTCTGGCAGGAGGATTTACTTAGATTTCGGCAGCAGTTTGTGTGCAACTTGGTTGTAGATCTTGAGAATGAAATTGAGAGCACGTCTTGAAGGGTGCAAAGGTTCGGGGGATACTGAGGTAGTCATGTGTACCTGATTTTATTGCTATTTCAAAGTTTTAATAGAAAATGTAACATACTTTAGTGATCCCTCCACTTTGTCAGTCTAATACTTGTTGTCCCCAGTTAAAGTGGCAGGGGTTTGTGGGAGAAAGAGTGAATAGAAGAAGAGAGGTCTTCAGGGTGTGCAAGAATAAAAAATGGGTTTGTGGCTACTTGGTTAATTATTAAAATTTAAAGTTTTAGTCCTTAAAATTAATAATATTTCTTTATTTTTAAAAAATATTAAAATTAAATAATAAAATTTTATCATCTTAAAGTTATATTTTGATAATTTATTTTATACACAAAAGTCATTTTATAATTTTTCAAACATAATTTTTCAATTCCTAATTTTAACATTTAATAAAGTCTTTATTACACTTTCTTTCAGGATGTCTGCTTCATCTTCTTTATATTTTAGTAGTCTTACATTTTCTTACTCTTTATACTTCTTTTTTTTTTTATTTAACTTAAAATTTTATCTTTTTTCTTTCAGACATAACTCAATATACTAAAGTTTTTATTAACTACTAAAGTCTTCACTATCACACCTACCAAAACTACTTTTAAATTTAATATTTTTGTCAACCTACTTCACACTGCACACTTCTTTGATCTCATCACTCTCTCCACTCTTCTAACACAAACTCTTAGATTGTGAAAAATCATTCACTGGCTTCAATAAAATTAGTCCCTATATCCTTCTTTCTTCATCCAATTCGTTTCAAATGTTTACCAAAATTTTTAAGCGAGACTTGAATTTAATGTTCATTTAGATAAAAAAAAAAACTCGACAAAAAAATTTATAAAAGTGATAGGTGAAAGAAAAAAGACATAACAAAAGAAAGGGAAAGCAAAAAATGAGAAAAATTGTTGACCAAAAATGTTAAAAATAAAAAAAAGAGCTATTTTTTAAAAATTATAAAACAACATCATTTTATGTTTAAAATAAATTGACACCTATCACTTAATATAACATATTATTATGTTATTTATTTTTAATATTTTTATATGACAAACATTAACTTGACTAAAGATTACTAATTTTAAAATTAAAAATTCAAAATTAAAATTTAAAAGATTAGTTTAAACAATGATGCATATTTTTTTGGACTAAAGTAAATATTCACTCATTTTTTCTCCGGTGAGAATGAATTGAGCATTGAAATCATTGAAATCAAAGACCCATTGTCAGGTTCAATTCCAATTGCAAGTGAGATTGATACAATCCTGTATATTCTATATAAGTGATTTTCAAATAAAATTGCACATTTGTTCTTGCGCACAAGAATTAAAATTTAGTTACATAATAAAAATTAATATTAGTACGTATTTAGTTGAAGTTTTAAAAAGTAATTATTTATTTGTTGTAATTTTTGAATATTTCAAATAATTATTTTTAAAAATTTAAGATTCATTTGTTCAAGTATATTAAGAAAATATTTTTTATAAATTTTATAAAAAATTATTTCAGAAGTTTAATTATAACTATAACTTAAAAAAAACTCAACATAATTAAAACCCATGCTATTTTCAAACTTTATTTTTAAAAAAATTATATATATAAATTTAATTTTAAAAAAAAGCTAGAGTCGTTTTATTTTAATTAATAAAAGAATGTTTAACGAGTTAAAAATATTTTCTTAAAAAAAATCAAACCAAATAAAAAATTACAAGAGATTTATTAATTCTATTTTTTGACAATAATAATTCAGTTTGAATTCTTTAATTAGTAATCCTGCACCACTGATTAACATTTATTTAATTAATAAAATAAATTATAATTGTAATTATATAAATTAAAAAAGAAAAGGTAGGTAATCATATTCACGTGCATCCAAGTCTTCTTCGAAACTGTGATCAAATCTCCATCTTGCAAGTTCCGTCTTCCTCGGGAAAACCCAAATACATATTTTCGTTCCATTTTTCTCAATTGGAAAACAATGGATTCAAGCAGAGGTCCAAAAACACTGACTCCAGATTTCTACCAAAACGTCGTCGTAATGAGACACGGCGATCGCATGGATAACTTCGAGCCCTTATGGGTATCCACCGCGCCCCGACCCTGGGACCCACCCCTCGTCCAACAGGGTCGGGTTCGGGCCTTCTGCACGGGTCGTAAGTTCCGTAACAACCTCCAATTCCCCATCCACCGTGTCTTTGTCTCACCCTTCCTCCGCTGCGTCCAAACCGCCGCCGAAGTCGTCACCGCCCTCTCCGCCGTCGCCGACGACCCCAACGTCGAAATCGGCGACGCCGTTAGCATCGATGCTTCTAAATTAAAGGTCAGAATCGTCTTTTCATTTTGCTGAGTGTCCTGTCTGTTTAAATTAAAATATTTTTTTATCCTTTTTCCGAATATCGTATTTTAATTTGAATTATCAATTTAATTTTTTTATTTTCTAAAACTCTGATGCAAATATTTTTTTTATGAATTTAAAGGTTTTTATTATGAAATGTTTAAAATATCATGTATGTATTATTTTTAAATTAATCATCACAAAAGTTAATTTTTTTCTTATACAAGATAATCTATAATAAAATTGTTATGTTTGATTTACTTATTTCTTCCTCATATTGAATATGACTCGATTATTTTTTATTTATTTTAAATTATTTGTCGCTTTATAATATAAAAAATATACTAATTATATATTTTCATTAAAACTTTTATTTATAAAGAGTAGATTTTACTGACTAATCACTGAAGTAATTTCGATATTACTTTAAGAGTTATTCTTAATGTATAACTGTTACAATAAGTCTAACGTTTTTAATAGGAATATTTCAATAAAATTAATCTATTTTATTACAATAATTAATAACATTAATATATTACAATAATTAATAACATTAATATATTACAATAATTAATAAGGGAATATAAACAAAATTTATATGGCTCTGTCAATTCAGCCTTCTGGCTTATATGACAGAGCAACGAGTAACAGTGTAAAGAAAATTTATCTGTAAATAAATTCTTAGTAATGTTGCTGTATGCAATGATTATATTTGAATTACCTGTTTGGGATGTTTGCCTTTGAAAGGTACATGTCAAGATTTAATTTAAACCTTGGCCTAGCGTTGAAAACATCATTCTAACATGTTAGGACCCTATTTGAATCAACTTAGCGAAGAAATTCTCAAGCAGAAAAAAATTAATATAAAAAATAAATATTTTTTTTATAAATTAAAAATAATTTATCTCTTCAAATTTTAGAGAAATTAAATGACAGAATTTATAAGAAAAGTATCAAATGTTTCTAACTTATGAACAAAAATTTATTCAGTTTTTCTTTATTAATTTTTTCCTTCGAAAAGTTTACTCAAATAGAGCCTCTTAACTACAGAAGCAGAATGCAGAGTTTTAGAAAATCATAACGTGACATACAAACCCTGAGTAGATAACAAGATATATAGGCTGTTGAGTGTTTGTTTATTTTAAGTTGAGTAAAATTGCTTTTGATAGAATTAATATTGATCTGTTAAACATAATTGAAATGTGAGTCTAAATTAATTTGAGCTAGAGGTTTTGTATTGGAACGTGTGCACCCCGCAAGGAATTGATTTTAAAAGTAAAACAAACAGGCCCTAAGTTGATAAAATCTCTCCCTGGCATCCACAATTGCAGGTCTCTGTTGAATATGGGTTATGTGAGATGATGAGCAGAGGGGCAATCAGGCTTGAAGTGGCTCCTAAAGATGGAAACTGGGGTTTTGATATATCAGAGCGTGAGGCCATGCTTCCAGTAGGGACAGTGGATAAGAATGTAGAAAGGGTCTATAAAGAGGTATAGAGGACTTCATCTTCATTTCCAATTGCATATTTTCTGCACAATTTTGACAATTATATTATATATATATGCTAACTTCATAAGGGCTGATTAAAACTTTTTTGCTTGAGGAACTTCAGTTGCCTAAGTGGGAAGAGCCAATTTTGCACACAAAGGCTAGATATGAGCAAATAGTTAAAGACCTTGCAGATAAATATCATAATGAGAACCTGCTGCTTGTCACACACGGTATAATTTTCAATTTCTTATACGTTTAACTGTAAGAGATATCTGTTTTAAAATACTGGATTTGTTTGCATTGGAGAATATATTTCTCTTTCCGTTTCCATATGAAAGACATCTTTTTTTGGTGAAACGCCATCATTTTGTAGTTTCCACCCTTGTTACATTAATAATCAGCAAGAATAAAATCAATGCATGTTTGGGTATGGTTATTCTTTAAGAAATAATCACTTTTTTTAAAAAAATCTGTCTTTTAGGAATATGGCAAAATTAACTGATTATTTATTCAAAATAAGCTAAAGCAAACACACGGCGAGAAAGTTCTTGAACGTGAACCTGAACCTGTTGATCAATGAATGAAGGTGTTCTAAATTGAATTCTAAATGCATTGCAACTTTTGCAGGGGAAGGAGTTGGGGTGGCTCTTTCTTCATTCAACAAGGGTGCTACAGTATATGAAGTTGATTACTGTGGATATGTTGAACTTAGACGCCCAATTTTCAAGAAAGATCAGTCATTTACTGCAGGAGAATTTGAAGTTAATGATCAAACTGGTGTAAATTTTATTACAAGTGAGCAATGACAGCAGTTGAGCTTATTAATGGCCATCCATATGGCTGAGGCTTGATTCTCTCTTATTACTCTGCCTGCTTCACATTTGAGTCCTCCAAAGTCCAAAAGACTAGTCTATTGTGAATGATTGATATAGCGGAAAAATTTAAACACCATTATTCTTCAATCAGGATACTTGCCTTGATTGAGTAGTAAAATAGGAGGAAAAATAGTGATAGGGCCTTACTCTTCAGTATTTTTCCAGGAAAGTGAAAAAGATGCATTGCATATACAAATTTATCAAAAATTTGGTTTATGACAGAACTCAGGTGATGAATGATATATTAGGCAATTGTTCTTGTTTGAAAAGGCTTGTTTTGTTATTATTTTTGTATTTAGCATAAGTTAATCATGTACTTCGTTTATTGGTCTGTTGCAAATAGAACATCACACCAGTGTTGGTGCAACTTATTTGTTTAATTTCTTATTATTTTAATTGTTGAAGTTTTCCAATTGAACAGCAACAGCTTTCAAAATTGTTCTTTTTGTATTTTTTACTATAATAAAAAATCATTTTCTATTCTTAAATTTAATTATAAAAATTTCGGTTAACAAAATTGTTAAACAAAGAGAACGATGTAACCACAACCAATAGTCCGGGACGGGTGGTAATTGTTCCGCAAGACAAGGAAACGAATCTCCTTTTCTGCTCTCTAAAATCTTCAGCAACGGTTAGAGAAGGGTGTAGAATATGCGAATCTTCTTATCTGTTCTCTAAAATTTGGGGCCCCTTGCTATCATTTTCTTCTTGCTTTTTGGCTGTTATTCTCTTGCAACATATATATATTGATACTAATATAAATATACGTATACAATTCTATCTCTTATTAGTATCTATGTTCCCTTTTAGTTGTATTTTTGCAGCATAGCACCAAGTCACGGGTGAACTGTTTAGGCTTGGGATAAAGATACTACAGTTATAATGCAAGAATAATGATAATGATTTTTGTGTTTCCCAAATAAGATTTATATTTCTTTAACGTCTCGTACCAGTACATTTTTTTCTTCTTGGTCTCTCATATATAAACCAATTAATCAACACTCTTTCATTATGTAATCTGGTTCAGGAGCTGGTGGACATATATCATTATCATTGAACTTAATAACTTCAATAATTACCGATTAATTAACATATATTAGGCTAATATTATCGGCACAATATATTATTTTACAAAGGTTATAAGTACACAATTGGTATTGATTAGATCTTTCATGTTGTTAAAACAATGATATAATTATATTAAAGAAAGGAAGATAATTTGTATCAAATTTAACTAATGGATTCAATTAGTTATTATAGATCACTTTTAATAAAAAAAAATTGTATCTTTTTTCTCTCTAACATGATTATATCATGTCACTCAAGAGGATTCAAATTCATTCCTATTAATCAAATCATAGGAAAACATCAAAAAGAGACCAGAATTATGGACAATTGCAGTGTTTGTGTTTGGGTATCCTACGAATGACATAAGTGTCAATTTAAAACTACAATGGCTGACCAAATTCTAAGTATTACATATAATTTTCAGCCTGCAATTACAAGATTGCAACACAACTAAACATAGAATAAAAAGGACAACGACCACAAAAGTCAAAGCTTTGAGCGGCTTGCAGGTGGCTCCATGTGGTCAAACATGTCAACAGGTAAGTCATCGAAGAAGCTGTCACTGTTTTTGGAGCTATCAATTGTGTCCATTGTCCCAATTCTGCAACTTCCTGAAGGATCAAAGAAAGGCAACCCAATTGCATGTTGTGGATCTATTCCATACTCAGATGCATCAAGAGGTCCAAAGTCTTCAATAAAACTTGGCTCATCAATTCTGGCATAGGAATCTTGGCTTCCCATTGAGAATGTATGATCATTCTGAAGTTCTGGAATCTGAGGGAATGCAATGTATTCCGTGCTTTTATAGCTCTCATAAAGGGTAAACTCTTGTTCAAAATGGCTAGTGTCAGAACTAGGCAACTCAGATTTTATGAGATCTGGTAAGTGCACCATTTTTATAACCTCGGAATTATCAATGCAGGGTAATGAGCATGGCTGAGGCTTTGATGATGGTTCTCCCTCTGATGATGAACAGAACTTAGGAGCCTAAATAAAAATGTCAACAAATTAATGTTATGCCTATGTAAAAAAAAAAAATAGAGATTCGACAGCACTGATTTTAACACATTATTATGTACTTGTTGAAATTTATTATTAAAATTATAAAATTATGAGTTTGACTCGCTAAATTAAAAAGTGAAACTTATAATATTTTAATTGTAAATAAATTTTAGTCTATCAAACTTATAATACTTGGAGGAAAAGCTTTACTACTGTGGTCCTATCCGACTTGAACTGGATCAAGAATGTCTATGCAAGTTTGTTTTTCCATTGAAATGCAGTATTCAACAGCGTGATAGCATTTTCAGTTAAGCAAACATGATCTTGAAACTTGTGTTAGCGTCTCAAATTTTATGTATTCTGAGGACAAAACAGAATGGTAGAACCAGAAATGCCAGGAAATAAAGGAACCTTCTAATTTAATTACCTCCAAAGTTGGAATATCAAGAAAGGTAGGAACTTTTGTTTTATTTTTCTGTGATTTGGGGGTTGTTGCTGATGAATGAAGAATCCTAGCCAACCTCTTTTGCCTACTGCTCCAGAAATTTTTTACATCATTGTCTGTTCTTCCTGGCAAGTAGGATGCAATCTTAGCCCACCTGTTCCCAAATTGTGCCTGCAACTCTATGACAACCCTCTCTTCGTCTACTGAAAACTTGCACCCACTTTGACAAGACCAGGAGAAACACCAAGGACAAAAATCAGATAAAACCCATAAAAAAAACTTTCACCTATGAACTAAAACAACACAAACAATCCGCGAGTAGGAACTACCTCAAGGAACCCTATCATTAATCTTGAATTCATCAAACACCAGTGCAAGTAAGTAACAACCGTGAACCATCCATATTGTAGATGATAAAAAATGTCATGATCTTTAAGCTTAAAAACACACAACAAAAGATGCAAGACTAAGGAAATGTGAATTCTGAAGCAACCCCATAATTGTAACATTTTATCATAAAATCAAACAAAAACATAGATGCTAGAGTAACAACCATGCATGGTCCTATATACACAGAATCACATATGAAAATTGAAAAAACATTGACATGACATACTTTTTGAGGTTTGGTCGGAGCTTATTGACCCAACGAAGTCGACAAGACTTGCCAGTCCTTTGAAGAAGGCCTTTGGATCGAATGGAGCTCCAATCTCTGGGGCCATACTTCTTAACGTGGTTCAGTAGCACCTCATCTTCTTCGGCTTTCCATGGCCCTTTCCTTATATATTCTTCTTGCTCTCTTTTTCCATGCATTTTCCACTCACCACAAAAATAATAAGATCCAACACGACACAAACTTTTCGTGGATTTTCTACCTTCAAATGCTTCACCGTTTTCTTTCTTAAACTACTGCTTCTCACATTGCACTATCCTATTTTATCTGTACGGTTATGCACGGCAGTTATTGCCTATTCCCACTAACGTGCCCATGTTCCCACTCTCTCTCCTACACGTGCTAAAATCTCGTAAAAAGTTAAAGTTTTATTTTTTTTATCTTATGAAAATGTTTAGAAAAAAAAGAAGGAAAAACTCTGAGAATTTTAACTTAAAGTGATACGAATTAACTTTTTACTTTTTATTAAATAAATATTGAAGTTAAGAAAAATAAATAAAATTGAAGAATGTTGTGGAATTCATGTCATGACTACCGTACATGATTTTTTGTACGGGTTAATTGATACCAAAAGTTATGTTTCTATTATAATCTTAATCATTATTATTTATGTTTCTATTATACTCAAAATTTTGTCTACTGATTTTTGTACCGGTTAATTGATGCTAAAAATTATGTTTCTATGATATTTTATCTCCTAAATATATTTTTTATTGAAACTGGCTAATTCAATCAGTGAATAGTAGGTCAATGAATTAAATTAATTTTACAAAATGTTATTGCAAAATTCTATGAGTAATTAGTGTTCGAACTTGCACTATTGAAAAATTAAAATTACAACATAAATAAACTCCGCTTAAAATAATAATAATTAAAAAATTTAATTATATGCTTATCCCATTTTTTAAATGGATTAAGTATTCTATCCCAGTTCATTTAAGTATGGGTTCACATGAACTATCTAAATAGTCTACCTACTTTATCACTCCTGGTTAAATATAACTAATAAAATAAAAAATTTCTTTAATTAACATTTGAAATTTGAGATCAAAATAAAATAAAATATGAAATTACTAATCTTACTTTCTAATAGAGTAGTATTAATATTAACATAGCAATTTAACTCAAATAAAAGCAACCATTGCAACGCAATTACATATTAATTATAATATTTCTATTATATTTATAAATATTTAAATAAAAAATATGTGGTTGAATTGGATCCAGCAGTAGCTTGCTAATTGAATGGATACGTTAATGATAAAGTATCTCAACCAAGATGATAACATTCTTCAGAGGAAGCACATTCATTATGTGTAACTTTTTCTCTCCTTTCTCTCATGTTTTTATATATGCCTTATTGTTTTTCTCCTTAATTATAATAATATTTATGATAATTGTTTTTCTCCTTATTTATAATATGCTCTACAAAGACCATCTTAATTGAGATATAATTACACACTAAATGTGAGGTCTTCACTTGACGAGGGTTCAAGGTCCCCACTTGATGGGAGATTATCTCCTTTTACTTTGGAGCATAATTTTACCTTGAGTATTGAAGACATTTAGTATATATGTCTGTTTACCTAGTAAAAATTTTATTAATTATAACATTCGACTGTTTGTTTGTTTTTTAAGAATATTTTCCTCCATCAAACTCTCAACTCCACCAACAAATTTGAAGACCACCATAAATCAGTCTTAACTTCCTTCAAGGTTAAGAAATTGGACAAAAGTTATTGTAAATCTTTGATTGTTTTAGATAGTAAATGTGTCCTAAATTTAAATGTAACATTCTTTTAACATTGTGTTGTTTTCTTTTGAATTGGTTTTGTCATGAGTCCTAATGCTGATGTTGATGCTCTAAAAACTCCCAAGATATGGGTCTAATAAATGCATGGGTAGTTCATCCCATTGTTAAAATGTTTGTTTAGTTGTATTGATTTAGGTCTTTATACTTGTCCATTGGGAAAATGGACCATCAATGATCTGTCGTGGGTATGGGCATTACCTACATTTAATTGAAACAATATAATATAAGAAATACAATATTAAATTAGGGTTTTTTTTATAAAAAAAAAGAAGATGACGTGTGCAAATGGAGTCCTCATAAGATGTTTATAGCATTTTGCACGTTCATAAGATAAGATGATTGATTTGAATCATAATATTTTATGGTAAATTAAAATTTTAAAGTTCATTTGATAAAATAAGATACTTATTATATTCGTTTTTAATCAAATGTTTGTTAAATTATAATGATAGAGTTACTTGTCCAATACTATTTTGGACTAATGTAATTGCTACATAGAAACTATAGTTGAGTTAGAAGAGAAAAGAAATGACAACAATTATTTTAATTTATTATATTATCTCTTTTATCTTTATCTCCTCTCTCTCTATTTAAAGTTTTTTATAAATTAAAAATAATAACTTATAAAAAATAAAAAAATTAAAATTAAATTTAGTAAATATAAATAAAAAATGACTTTTATCATCTTTTTGCACATTTATATTATATTTTTTTATTAAGTCTGCATCAAACATTAAACGTGATAAAAGTTTGTTACGTTCTTATTATATTATGATTTTACCTAATCCTCTTATTATATTATTTATATTAATTTTTTCCGTTAAATGAGTCCTATATATTACTTGTATCATAATGATTATTTAATAAATGATCAAGATAGAACCTATAAAATATATATGTATTATTTAATTTGTTAAATTTTTTTAACATATATCTAATTAAAATTTATATAAAATAAGTTTACATTGTATCTAAGTTCATTTTAGATAAATTTTTAAAAAGTCTTTAAAAATTATTAATATAACAAATATTAAAAAAATTTATAAATTAAAAATAATTTATTTCTTTAAATTTTAAAAAATAAATATAAAGTTCTTTTAAAATATAAAAAAACAAATTTTTTCTAACTTATAAAAAATTTATTTATTTTTAAATTTATTTTTGTCTAATACATCCATTGATTTCTCCCTGAGCACGAAGCTAAAAAAAAAGTGGGTACTCCTTAGAAACGAAAGAGAAGGCGATTAGGAATTAGAGGCATAGAAATTATGAACTACAAAAATGGAAATAGACGATGTTGAATGAAGTGGAATCCATGTGGCCAAGAGTGCTCAAATCAAAATACGCGGCTAGGAATTGCAATCACTTTTATATTTATTAGATTAGATTTACGAAAAAAAAATGCTTATAACACAATTTTTTTTATATTAGTGTAACTTTAAATAAAAAATTTAAATTTAATATAAGAATTTTAGTTTTACACTAGTGTAAAAAAAATTTCTTTATCTATAAATCAAAAGTATTTGCTTAATTTAGTAATTTATTTAATTTTAGATGAATACTTTTATTTATAGTAATATATTTACTTTATTAATTCATAAAAAAATATTTCAGTTAATAAACTTTAAATGCGCATATTTATTTTGATATTATATGTATATGAATTTTTTTTATTTTAATAAATATATATAGAAAAGTAAAAACTTTAAATAATTTTTTTTAAAAATTATATTAATTTTGATAAAAGAGAAATTTTTTAGTTAAATATAACTTATATTTTATTCTATTGTTTTTTATTTATCTGAAATATTAAATAATTCTCTTAATTTGAGTGTCCTATCGTTTCCTTAACCACACAACTCTTAATACGTCATTTAAATTTTATCTTAAAAAAAAAAGGTGTTTGGGAGGATCCTAGGGTGAGATGAGTGGACCTTCATCAAAATTAATATACGGTTAGCAAAATTAATAATAAGACTATTTAGAGTCAGTTACGTTCCTACAAGTTAATCCCTTTTCATTATTCTTTTTTTCTAAAAATGTAAATTATTTTACCTTCACTCTTTCAAAAACGCCAACTACCTCTAATTAGTACAAAATTAAAGACAGCCAAAAATTTACCATTTTTTGTTTTTTATTTTTAAATTTTATATTTTCATAATTTTGCAAAAGATATTATATTCCAGTATATATTATTTTTAAATACCAAACGTGTGAATAAGATCAATTAAACTTTAACTGATATGAAGATGAAATAACATTGGTTTTAACAGAGAATATGAGTAATTTGCGAAAGAAAAAAGCGTTAAAGAAAATGAAACGGCAATATTTGGTCCGTGAATAGAAACAGACATTCGAGCTTTCAGACAGGCTATGTTTTTTGGAAAGTTTCGAGGCCTAACCCACAGTTTTGTCATCATAACCCTCCCATTACTGTGAGCCCAGCTAAGCCAACCCCACCAAATCAAATTGCATACATTAACAATTTTAATTTTAATTTTAATTAGATAATATATTTTGACCATCCAATCAAAATTAATTATAACTTTAATTATAAGGGAAAGTCACTCTTTTCACGCTATCATCTCTTTCCTGATTTTATGCATATATACACACACTCGTACTCCTTGGTGGCCACAAGCACTAAAGTGTAACAAACTGAGAGATCTACGACAAAACAGATCTGTGGCAACTGGCAACTTTTTAGTCATTGGATTCATCAACAACAATTGTATCAAACAAAAACACAAACACATTACTCACACATTACTCATCTCCTTCACTTCACATTACTCACACATCCATGGAAATTGACAAGATTTTCAACACCGGTTTGCTCATTGTGGCTACCATTTTGGTGGCCAAACTTATCTCATCGTTCATAGTGCCCAAATCAAGAAAGAGACTTCCCCCGGTGATGAAGGGGTGGCCCCTCGTTGGAGCCCTTCCCCGTTTCCTCAAAGGTCCAATTTTTATGCTCCGCGAAGAGTACCCAAAACTTGGAAGCGTCTTCACCTTGAAGTTCTTTCACAAAAACATCACTTTCTTGATTGGCCCTGAGGTTTCTTCACACTTCTTCAAGGCCCCAGAGAATGAACTCAGCCAGCAAGAGGTGTATCGGTTCAATGTGCCAACTTTTGGACCTGGGGTGGTCTTTGACGTTGATTACTCTGTGAGGCAAGAGCAGTTCAGGTTTTTCACTGAGGCTCTTAGGGTCAACAAGCTCAAGAGTTATGTCAATCAGATGGTTGCAGAAGCTGAGGTAAGTGTGTTGGTGTTTTTGTTTTTTGGTAACTTGATTTATCTAATGTGATTATGTCTCGTCTCACATTGATGTGTTTTGTGTGACATTGGGTTCACGCTATTGGGTTTTGGAGCTTTCGTTTTCTGACGTTGGATTTAATCATTGTAATCAGGAATTTGTTTTCTATGGTACCGGTGTTCCTTTTTCTATGGTTCTCATTGCATGTGACGATGGATTGAGAGACTGGGGGATACAGGCTTCGATCCATGCTTTTTTTTTTTTTTTTTGTATTTTAATTGACCCTTTTATTCTTACATGATGTATTGCATGTTTTTTGCATTCAATGCTTCGTTCGATCTGGTCAACGGCAAACACCTGCAGTGATATCTGTACATTTTGCAGGATGAAGCTTATCGAAACTTTAATTCAACAATAGCTAAGCCTCATCCATCTCCGTGGTATCGGATATAGATGTTTTCAATCTAGAGTAAAAAGATTGGCACTTCAACGCTTTTAGAAAATGGAGTATAACTTAAAAATTCCATATTTTGTGACAATGTTCATACATTTTTATGTCCACTGCAAGGCTTTAACTTCTCGAGAAAGAGTATAAATTTGACAATTTTCAGTGCACCCCTCATCTTAGTGTAGCAAAATTCCCAGTCTAATTGAAAACCAAATTTTATGCTGCTGCTTGAATTCACTCCCATGATAAACTGTGGAAGCTCTTCATTTCCATTTGGACTTGACCATGGTGAAATTGCATCAAACCTGGCACTTGATTGTTTCTTTATGTTGTTAATAGTAAATTACTCCCTTGTATTTTTCCTTGGTTGTGTACCAAATTGGCATTGAAGACTTTTCTTTCCCAAACCCATACCCAATTTGCAGTACTATTTCTCAAAGTGGGGACCAAGTGGGGAGATTGATTTGAAGTATGAGCTTGAGCATCTGATCATCTTGACAGCCAGTAGATGCCTTTTGGGCCGTGAAGTTCGTGACAAGCTCTTTGATGATGTCTCTGCATTGTTCCATGACCTTGATAATGGGATGCTTCCAATCAGTGTCATCTTACCATACCTGCCAATCCCAGCTCACAAGCGCCGTGACCAAGCACGCGCAAAGCTTGCTGAGATCTTTGCAAACATCATAGCATCTCGCAAGAGTGCCAACAAATCAGAAGATGACATGCTGCAGTGCTTCATTGACTCAAAATACAAAGATGGTCGCCCAACAACCGAATCTGAAGTGACTGGACTGCTCATTGCTGCGCTTTTCGCAGGTCAACACACAAGTTCCATTACCTCCACTTGGACTGGTGCATACCTCCTGTGTAACAACAAGTACCTTTCAGCCGTGTTGGAGGAGCAGAAGATGTTGATGGAAAAGCACGGGGACAGAGTTGATCATGATGTTTTGGCTGAAATGGATGTGCTGTATAGGTGCATTAAAGAAGCCTTGAGACTCCACCCCCCTCTGATTATGCTGATGAGAAGCTCACACACTGATTTTAGCGTCACAACAAGAGAGGGGAAAGCATATGACATTCCCAAGGGTCATATAATTGCGACATCACCTGCGTTTGCTAACAGGCTAAGTCACGTTTTCAAGGACCCTGATAGGTTTGATCCTGATCGATTTGCTGTTGGCAGGGAAGAAGACAAGGTGGCAGGTGCATTCTCAGTCATTTCATTTGGAGGAGGCCGACATGGATGCCTCGGTGAACCCTTCGCATATCTGCAGATAAAAGCAATATGGACTCATCTGCTGAGGAATTTTGAACTGGAGTTGGTGTCACCTTTTCCTGAGATCGATTGGAATGCCATGGTTGTAGGAGTGAAAGGAAAAGTGATGGTCCGATATAAGCGGAAGGAGCTTTCTCTTAATCAATAGGACCAAATGTTTCAGTGTTTGGCATCATTTTATTTTAAGCAGCTCTTGTTAGTCTTTCTGGTTCAGTTTCAGTCCTAGTTAACTGTTTTTCACCATGGATTTCTAGAATCTTGATTTTGATTTTATGTAATTTTGGCAAGTGTTTTCAACTTACTTTGGTTTTTTCATGTATTGGTTGATAGTAACCTGTGTTGAAGTGAAATGGTAAGATCAAAATACAAATTGCGAATTGCGATATTATGGTGCTGCATCACCCTGAAATAGTCTACCCTCTTGTTCTGATCATAACTTGCTCACTCAATGAAATTTGTACAAACTCGATCCATTTAAAAGCTGGGGAAGCTTTCTCCCTCTAAACAATTTGACTTAAAGATTCCTAAAGGATATATCAATTTATAAAAAAGACCAGAGGATTCTGAAAATATTAGAGGATCTTATTCAGAATCCAACCAATTGAAATAGCCTGATTTAAAAAGGTCATGCTCATTTCAGCATATTTCCTAGTAACTAGAAGTCATTGCTCATTTAACTCTTGTTTAGGATGTCCCTGGTACCATCACACATATGTGCAACTATTATCAATCAATATGTTATACGATAAACATGCCAGTTCTAGTACAAGTAAATGAGAAATAAAAGTTACATTGCAATCATTTATACGATACAATACACAAAAGGTGATTCAATATATATTTCTCATGTAACTAAAAGAGTAGACTAGCAACTCGATAGAAATTGAAGACGGTGAATATTAGCACAGCAATTCCCACTATTGTAGAACTGCTTCTCCAAGGGTCACGGAAGTAAACCCACCTTAATGTACCCATTGCCCATTTCCAATCGTTGTTGTAGTGTTGATTAACATCTTCCATAATTTGGTGGTAGCATGTTGAACTTGTCACTACATGTTTACAAAGATCATTAACCAAATTTGCCAATTCCTGATCACTTCCCAGTTCATGGACAATAGCTTCTTTCTCAACCATCAACTCAGCATCATCTTTAGTGTGAATAAGTGAATCAACAAGAAAAACATAATTGCAAATATAAGGCTCCTCAGGATAGTGACACTGCTCAAAGGCTATTAGGTTTCTAAGAACACATTCTGTTGTGTGGTCTACTTTTAACTGAGGGAATTGAAATCTAGCTTTGAACAACTTGCAGCATGGCAAGCAACCCAAGCAAAGAAACCAGCTGAAGAATCTCTTCTTCTCAAACTTTATGTCAAGTAGGGATCTATCATGAACATTCTCAAAGCTTATACCAGCCTCATTCAACTTTGTTGCAGTCCTTAGCACAGACTCCTTTTCAGAATAAGGTTGCTGACTGCTCAGTTTCTTGGGAAGATATGAGTTTCTAATCAGATCAGTGAAATGTAGTGATTCCTCCCACTTACATAGCTCAAACTTGCTGTCTGAAGAATACTGGTGAGGATAATAAGATCGAAAATACTCGTGCGCGAGCTTAAGAAATCTTGAATGCTTCTTGACATTGCTTGGAACAACTCTATCATACAGTTTTTCCAACACCATAATTGGAATCTGATTCTCGAGCAGCAGCAAATCACGCTGGATGCTCTTCCCAACACATCTTTGAGTTACTAGATAGTCATCTTTGTGTTCCCATCTTTTTGCTTCTCTCAGAAACAGCTCCATGATGAACACAGCATCCAGCAGTATCATTTCAACAAATTCCTGATTGCTCATATTAGTGAATTTGTTTTGGTAACAACGGCGAATTTTTTGCTCTTCTTGTTCAAGGTAGGCTTTATACTGCACTAAGTCATATTTGTTCACTAGGCGTTTCCAAAAGAAATGAAAATATCTTTGTTTTTGTTCTTGCATTTCCTTCAGTACTTCTTTCTTGTGGTGCACAGGGCCAATTGAGATCAATAGAGGAGTATAGGCCTCCTCTTTCACCTTCAAAAGATTACTAGGAACCTTATAGATACAACATTCAGGCCACAATGCAGGTTCAATCTCTTCTGGAATGTTGATTATGTGTTGGATGTGATATTCAACAGCAGACCCCATGAGATCTTCTTTTCTGTGCCAGTTGAGCAAACAAATAAATGTTTGATACAAACCATCAGACAAAGAAATCACTTGTCATTGATACAAACCAGCAGCCAAAAATTTGTTTTCTTTGAATAAATTTATGGAAAATACTAAGAATCAAAAGTAGAAATGTTTTATTGGAAAAGGTAAAAATACACCTATTATTCAGATTTTTAATGTATTCCAACGTGATTTCTAACAAGATTTAATATTTATTGATTCCTTAACTAGTGCCTTAGCAAGACCGTAATTTTATTTTTACTGTTCATTTTTTTCTCACAGGCTTAACACTTGCAATGCTGAGATATGAACTTCAAAATTCCTGCAAATTACCTTAGCCCTTGTTAATTTTAAAGTTAGAAATTTAATACTGGCATATTTTAAAGAAAAACACACGTTTCAATATAAAATACGTGGTTCAGACTAATTTAGGTGCATATCTAAATTACATTCAATATTCAAAATCAATCCCATGAAAATGAATTTTACCAAACTCTGAACCAAACAGATACTAACTTCATAGCAAATATTTGGTATAGAGACAGACTCTGATGTTTTTTAATATTCAAGAAAATCTAAGCTCTCGATCTCAAGTATAATAAAAATGTTTTTTCAAAACATCTGTTTGAAGGACTTCAAAGGGAGAGAGAGAGAGAGAGAGAACTTTTCTTCTGTTTACTTTACAGTATAAAAAATTTGAATATATACAAAGGATCCACTCATCTTCAATGTACAGACAAAGGTGCATCTACAAAGTGCAGATACCACTCACAAAAAGGTTTATGCAGCTTTGGCTGAAGGTATTATTTGAAAGACAAAATTAAAATGTTTAAATACTAATCACAAACAGAAATAGGACCAGCACACAACAAGGGGGGAAAAGAATCACTTGTAAAGTAAACAATTGCAACTTTTTCTTTCGCAAACAAACAAAATAAAATAGAACAAACAAGGGAAACCAAAATGAAAAACCAGAAGCAGAACACACTATGGTCAAGAAAGACTGTAACACACTAGAGTAAACTTTTCCTGATAAAACTCATAGCATAGCATTACAGTAAACTTAGATCACAACTACTGATAAACAGTGTTAACTTTTGCAATAATCTAAGAGGCATTGTACTATCATGAACAAGTGTTAACTATAGAGCATATTGTATGAACCTGAAGATCTGATTCCTCCAACAACTTCTTAGATCCTAGCTTCTGGCTCTCCAGTTCTACTCTCTCTCACTCTATCTCAACCTCTTTATGGTTTGTACTGGAACTTCAGGAGTGTGCTTGGTAGAAAAGTCAAAGAATACAGTAACTGAAGAAGATAAATCCTGGACTACTGTAGAACAGAAATTCATTATTAATGTTCTAATTTTATTTATTAATAGTTGGCAGATTGATGAGAAGATAAATTGTTATGAGATTGGAAATTATTAGGAATTTTATTACTTTGTCAGGTTACATTGACTAGTAATATTTATATATGATTCTACCTAGATTCTTGGAACTTTTGCTTTACAATATTCTCCAAAATTCAATTAGTTTAATTGCTAATTGATTATTTTTATTGTATTATTTAATTTAATTATAATTATTTCGTTGAATATTAAATTATGAATTATAATAATATTCAATTAAATTTAATTGAACAAACTAATTAGTTTCTATATTATAAATAAAAATATAAACATGGAGCATAGTATAGCTTTTTTTTTTTTTTTACTCTTTTGCTATAATTATTTTACTTTTTACCAATTTTTTTATGATAAATTTTACGGTGCTCTAAAAAATAAAGAAGTATTTTATATATGTAAAATAATTATAATAGGTAATTTTAATGATAGAGTTAATGGTGTATTTAAAAAAAATATAAATATCTTTTAATATCTTAGTATAATTTTAAAAAAAATATTTAATACATTCTCAAATTTAAGAACACTATAGTAAGTAACTTTTTTTATTATCTTTTTAAATTTTAAAGATAAAAAATATTAATTAATTTTTTATTACTTTATATAAACTTTTTGATTTTCAGTAAATAATTACATTTATTGTTATAAATTTTTAAAAAATTATTGGCAATACTTTCGATCAAAATTATTTTTAGTGATTACTTACCTTTAGTTTTATGAAAAAAAAAAGTCAGTTAAATATAAAAGAATTCATCACTTTTATCCATTTTGTTCTCAAAATTTGCATTATTCTCAAATACTTTCTCTTATGGTTATTAACATATATTAATTGTTGATATTTAATTAAAAAATGGAAACTATATTATTTTAAAATAAAATATTTAAAATTTATTATAATTTTATTAATTCTTATAGTTTTGATACATACTATTTATAGTTATAGAATTAAGTTAAAATAATTATACAAAAAATCTATTGTTTAAAATAACTTTATTCCATATATAACATTTGATAAAAATTAAAAAAATCTTAAATTATTAAACTATATATAATTTAAAATTCTCAGATTTTATTAATGTAAATTTTAAAAGATTGTTACCATGTTGTTTTCATCATTTACTGAATCTGCGTTGCATTAACAAAATGTTGCAAATTCCTTCTAGAGTATAAATGAACATTTCTTTAATTACCACTTAATTAAAATAATTTACCCAAATTGATTTGTTAACATTTTTAAAAAAATATAGTTAGCAGAACAGTGAAAACGAAGAAGGAAGCAATAAATAAATTAATAAATGCACGTAGAAAAAACTCTTACGGAATTAATTTCCACTGATTTTTTTGGGTAATAATTGCTGTCTTTTTTATTTGCAACGTTTTAAACGCAACTACCAATATGAGCCATTTAAAGAGCTGAACGGTGGTCGGTGGACCTAAACGCACTCTACAAAAAAAAATTATCATATACTATGCTAAATTATAATTTTATTTTTTTTATAATACACCCAAGTATATAATTTGTTAAAATTACTTTTAAATTATTTTTTTAAATTATTAAAATCAACTCCATAATTTTACAGCCATGTTTTGCAACTTGTACATTCGTGTCAAGGACAAATATTTCTACTAATGACTTTTTTGGGCTAAATAATTAAAAAAAAAACTTTTTTATTTTCTTAATGTTCAAATTAATTATCTGTAACTAAAATAAAAATTATCTAAATCAATATTTTCAAGTTAAAATACAAAATTATCCTTACTGTTATTTTTTTAAGGCTTTTTTATTTTGTAAGAAAAAAATATCTTACTTTTATTTATTTTAAGCAAATTTATTTGTCTATAATTAACTTGTATATTAATCCGATCTAACTTAATCTTGTAAATTTTTTAATGTGGGGTTCTTAGCTTTAACTCATTGTAAATCAATATTCATTAAATCAACTAATTGAAGGAGGAGGCATGGAGACAATTGACCAGTTAAATGAAAATGAAATTTCATTACTTAAACCCTAAAAAATCATAACAACATGTTATTTTGATTATTTGGATTATAAGATCTCAAGTTATTTATTTTAATGGGCCTACTAAAAACTATAATCCCTCGAATTAGTTTTTAAAAATATAAAAACTAAGAGTAAAATAAAATGAATATATAAAAATTAATAATGTATTTAAACCTTTGTAATAAACAATTTATGGGATCACAGTTACATGGAACAGTACTACAATCTTTAAAGTATTGACATAAGAAAAATTTGTTATCAATCAAATCGTGCTTTCATTTTTATAACACATCTCAGTCATCCAATTCATGACCAGTGTCCTTTTCATTCCCTAAAGGTTTTTAGCTTTTGCCTCTCTATTTGTTCAACATTTTATTCAAATAAAATACTTCATATGATCTTTTTATTGTGTTTAGTAATATATAATCAAATTTATATATAATTATTTTTTATATTGAAAATTATAAGATGTTCAAGAATTAGTATATTAATAATTTAATACTGATAAGAATATTATTTATTAACTTCATATTAATAATGTGCATAAATTGATTATTTATATATTACATTAATAAATATATTTAATCATATGAATAATAAATAAGCGTCTTATTAATAGATACCTTACAGTAAATTAAAATATAAAAATAATAATTAATGCATATATAAATGAATTTTTATTTTTCTATAGTTGAAATAAAAATATTAATAATTATATTTTATAGAAATGAAAATATTTCTTTTTATTAAAAAATATATATATTCATTATACTAATGTACTTTAATATAATAAATATTTTATCTTTTAATAAAAGTTTAATATATTAAAGTGATATTTTAATTTACTTTTTGTACGCAAGCAATATGATCCAGGCAATTTCCATTAAAAATTGTCGACTAATGTTTTGTCTGTTTATGAAAACAGTACATCAAAGCAAGAAAAATCTCGTGTAAATTATCTTATAAAGAAGGAAAAAGAGAGAATAAAAAAAGGAAAAAATAAACACTTAAATCCAACGTGTAGATCCATAATCAATTTAATTTACAATTTTTAAAAGAATTTAGTTATTATTTTAATTCAAACTGCTTTTATTTTTTGGTATAATAAAAAAAGTAAAATTTTAAATGAGTAAAAAAAGATAAATCGCTAAATAAAAATGAGTTAATTTCATTAAAAAAATGAACTTAACATTTAATTAATATTCATCTTCACGATAATAATAGTAATTTAGTTTTTTGAGCTCATAAATAAGATAAATATTTCAATTATAAACTAATAAATTTTCAATTTTCCTAATAATTAAAAGCATATAATTATACGAAAAAGGGATAGGAGTAACAAACTGGTGATATGCAAAATAGTAATTTTTTTAAAAATATTTTAATACATAATTATTTTAAAGATAACGAGTGTATTAAATTGTATAATGAATCATTTTTATGCAATGAAGTATATGAAATAATTTAATGTAGTGTTTGTTGAGGGAAAATTGAGAAAATATTTAGTAGATGGATAGGGTTCTGAGTTTGGACAATACAAATTATAAAGATATTTTGAGTGTGCAAAGAGGAAATGTTTATCTACTTCGTCAAAAGTTGAAGAAATTTGAGTGCCTTATATGTTAAATCGATATCAATGGATATTAAAGCCAAAAATAATGGATCACTGGTGCATCATAGACAACATTAAAAAGAAAAGAAAAGAAAAAATGCTAAACATTTAGATTATTTTCTAAAAGAGTTTTATTTCTAACACATGTTTTTACTCATTTTTTATTGATAAAAATATTGAAGAAATATATAATTTATATTAGAAGAAAGATTTTTTTACACCAAATGTAAGTCTAAAAACTCTTACACTCAATTTAAATTTTTCATTTAACTTAAATTTAACAAGTCATAATTTATTATTTTAGTGGCTGTTAGATTTAAGTTAAATAAAAGACTCAAATTGGGTATAAGAGTTTTTAGATTTACACCGGTGCAAGAAAATTCTGTCTCCTTATATTAATATTATTTTTACAAATTATTATATGGCAAAAGTTTCAAATATGCAATGTCTTATGAAATAATTTAAAGTAATTTATTAATTATTTCAAAACCAACCTACTTTTACCATTTTCAATCTTTTTTCTGTTATGTTTCCTTTTTCCTTGTCTTTCTTTCTCCACTGTTCTTTCATGTTGTTCTAAGTTTCACAACTCTTTCCCTTTCACTCTTTTTTGGATGCAACTTTGCAAATGCCATTAGGTTCTTTTTTCCTTCTATTCTCTCTTTGCTTTAATTGTTTCAACAACTCAACAAGAAAAAAAATAAAAGGGCCTTTTTTCTTTTCTACTTTTTGTTGTGCTGATCAAAGCAGATTGTTATTTGTCTAATAATTTATTTTTTCAATTGTTATTAAATTATATTTCTTTCTCATTTAATTATATTTTAATTTAAAATTATTTAACTACTTTATTATATTGAAATTTAATTATCTAAGTTATGTCAATTCAATGTAAGAGAAATAAATTTTAATTATAATGCCATATATATAGCTAATATTAAAAAAAACTTATAGTATTATGATAATTTTAAATGCCACCCAACTTGATGATTTAATCTTAATTTTTTCTGTCTATATCTAATTGTTAGGATTTACTCATGCATTTATTATGTTGTTTTCAATATATTTATATTTAAATTTTAATAAAAATTATCATATATAAATTTTTATTTGTGTATCCTCTGGCTATATTTTAAAAAATTATGTGTGAGGATCAAGTCATTTTAAGAATAATTTTGAATGTAATTACTTTTATTAATAAGCCATCACTATAACTATTAAATAATACGATATTAATATTTTGATTATGTCAAGTTTTAAACAAATTTTATTTTAAATATTTATTTATATTTTAAAAAAGTACGTTAAATATTAAAGTAAAATGTGGTCCAAAAAAGTACCAATTAGTTTTTCTTTTATAACTATATATAAACTTGATTTAATCAATAAAAAATTAATTTAGCTGTTAATTTATCATTTTTTTTTAAAAATTATTAAGCAAAAACTCGCTCATATAAAATAATATTAGAATAACTTAACCCCCACTCACTGTATAATTGTAAAATTCAATTTCTTTAATTTTATTTTGATTCTTTAATAATTAATAAAATATTAAACTTACACCTTTAATTACTTTAATCATGTATTATTTTAGTCCTTTTAAAATATATTTAAAAATGTGCACGTTTTTAATGCACCTCTTATAAACTGCGCTTAATGACAAATTTTTCTATAATCAAAGTTTAGGAGCATTCCAATTAATGAGTAAATATTATTGAAGATTAGTACATATTATTGAAATTAATTCTAATTTTAATTAAAAAAAATAACATCAATAACATTTATAACATTGCACCTTGCACCTGAAGTTTATCTCTTACTTTCATGAAAGTTATAGTATTTATGAGTACTGTAGTTTAAGAACCTGTTTGGTTTCTTATTCAACCATATATTGAAAGGAAATCTCACTTGAAAATTAATGGTTATAAATGTGTACAAATTATGAATATGAAGTAATTTTTTTGGATTATTTATAATTTATTATTTTTCATTTTCAAATAAAGACTAATATCAATGACAGATTATTTATTTTAGAAAAGTAATGACTTTTTTTACAGAACTTCAAAATGGTTCTAAGAGATAATTTCATAAAGCATTGTATATTTGAAATTTATTTTTTGTAAAAATTTGACAGACAAAATAATTCTCATAAAAATTAATTTATATACTTAAAAATTCTATATTTTATTTTCTTTATAAATATTTTTTTTACATTTTAAGTGTTTACTGTAATCACTAGAACAGAGAAATAGAAACCAAATCATAAAAAAATGTTATACAGATATAATTAATGACAGGTGAATTAATTTAAAGTTCTGTGAGTAGTGACAGCATCATTGCATTCATTCAATCATTCATGCACGAAACACCATCAACACATCCATGGCAAACAAAAAGCTGAATTGCATGATTTCAAACCTTGCCCGTATTCTCCCACACCCTTTTATTTTTTTTCATAGCGATCCATTACATTAATCATCATATCATAAAATAAAATTCTAGTCTTAAGTACCATTGTGGAAGAGACTACGCACAGCACGGAGGAACTGGAACACAGTGAAAACAAGCACAGCAACCCCCACAACAGTGGAACTGGCCCTCCAAGGGTCTCTAAAGTACACCAACCACAACGCAGCCATAGTACGGTTCCAAGCATTCTGGTAATGCTTATTCAAATCATCTATGATCTCACAGTAACACGTCGACTTGGCCACGAGATGTTTACAAAGGCTATTAACAAGTGTAGCCACTTCAGTATCACTACCTAACTCATGCACAATCACCTCCTTCTCCACCAGCAACTCCACATCTTGCTCCGTGTGAATCAACGAGTCAATAAGAGAAACATAGTTACAAATATAAGGTTGTTCAGGATAGTGACACTGTTCGAACGCAATGAGGTTCCTCAAAACACATTCCGTTGTGTGGTCCACTTTCAATTGAGGGATCCTAAAACGTGCCTTGAAATGATTCAAACAAGGTAGACAACCCAAACACAGAAACGAACTCAGAATTGGCTTTTTCTCAAACGACACATCAAGTAACCTTCTTTTCACATCTTTCTCAAAACTCACCCCTGATTCTTGCAACTTCGTTGCGGTTCTTAAAACATGACGAGAGCAACGGCTTTTCATGCGTTCAAAGTTAGTAGGAAGGTAAAAGTACCTTAACAAATCAGTGAAGTGTTTTGGTTCGCACTTGTCATTGCTCTGTGGTTTTGGTTTCTTGGATCCGCGAACCGAGCCTGTGAAATACTGTTTTATGGATTGGTTTTTGTTGAGAATGAGCTTGGTTTCGTCGGAGGAAGACATTTGTGTGTCGTAGAATGCAAAGTACTCGATGGCGAGGTCGACGAAGGAGTTGTGTTCGGTTTTCTTGTCGTCTTGAGGAACAACATCCTCGTACAGTTTCTGAAGTACGGAGAAAGGGATTTGGTTTTCAATGAGGATTAAATCTCTTGTGATGCTTATGCTGAGCCATGACTGTGTTAAGATGTAATCTTCGTTGTGCTTCACTCGAAACGATCTTGTGTGTTTGTAGTCTTGTTGGTGTTTTGATGTGTCGGATTTCCACGAACTGTTTCTCAACAAGAGCTCCATGATGAAGACCGCGTCGAGGAGAATCATGTCAACGAATTCTTGCTTTTGAATGTATGGGAATTTGTCTGCGTAGCAGTGGCGAATTTGGGGTTCCATTGATTCGAGGTAGTGTTTGTAGGTTTTCATGGCTTGTGGGTTTGAGACACGGACCCAGAAGAAGTGGAAGTACCTCTTTTTGTGCTCTTGCATTGGATTGAGTTCGGTTTTTCCGAGGTGGATTGGACCTATTGAGATCCATTGTGGGGTGTATGCTTCTTTGTTTACTTCTCGAATGTTGTAAGGAACCTTGTAGATGCTGTATTCCGAAAGCCTGAAGTCTTCTAGGATTGGAATGTCGATTATATGTTTCACCATCTCGAATTCCGAGTCGGATAATGACCAAGTTGAAGTGTTGTTATTGTTGGTTTGTGCCATTGTTGCAGCAACAGAACTTCAACTTTCTCTGATTTTCAATTCCCTGTATAATTGAGCTAACAGATAACTTTAAAACATAGATAGACCAAAATCATTTGTTAAGATTAGAATTTTCTTAGATGTTAGCCTTTATTGTGTGTGTTATTAAAATAAAATTTTAATTTTAATTAAAAGATAATACTAAAAGCATTTATAGTAATGTAGTTAAGTTTTATGTGTGTTATAAAGTAATATATAATTAGGGAGATAAAACCTTGATGTCACGGTCCCGATTATGGTTGTGGACCACGATGTAAAACAATGGCTATGATATTCAGTAACGACAGTGAAATAAAAGGTTCAATTATGAAACAGGTTATTGCAACACAATGCCCCACAAGAAGCCAAATCGTTTGGCCTTTTTAGGATTACATTGAAGCAATGGACAAATTATATGTAATTATTCTAATTATGTCATTTGAACCACCCTTTTAAACACTTATATTATATATTTATAATTTTAATATTTAAGATTTCGTTAAAGGATTAAAAAAATATTTAGTATCCTAACTTTTGTAAAAGAAATATTATTTAAATTTTCAATATACTTCTTCGCCTATTGTATTAATTAATACTTTATTTATTTATTATTCTCAATCAAACATTTATTATTAAGAGTAAAATTATAAATATATATAATTGTTCATTAATTTTATAAAATGATAATAAAAATAATTAAATAAAATTATATTTATTTATAGTTTTTTTTTTTCTAATCGTCAAGTAAATTTGCTAAAACTTTGGGAACACAATGAGTTGTCCCCTCGTGGAGCGTGGGTCAAAAAAGCATTTTTGAAACTTTAAATCATTCACCTGAGGCAATAGTTTTAGTTTTTAAGGCCTTCAATCGCCCTTTCTCGTAAATTTTGTCAGTGTTCTTAATTTCTGCAGTGAACAAATCTGAATGGAAAACAGTTCTTAACCATTCTGTGAAAAGTTAATGGAAGTTTTCTTTCTTACAATGTTGACACAGATCTTAAATATAATATTGAAAATTAACATACTATATTAAAATAAAAATTTTATTCTTATGAACAATGATATTCATTGTATGAATTTTTTCTTACGAAACTTCTGAGAAAAGAACTGAATAAAAAAAACGCATTTTAGAAGGGCTTTATTCAAATTACTACGAGAAAATTTTCCTGTAAATTTTACATATAACTTCAAATTGAACAAGACCACGTACACCTAGAACATCCAGTAAATTTGCCAGTTAGTATAAAGTATCAAAAGATTGAAAGACATGAGAAGACAAGTGAATAGTATTTCCAGACAACCAGTGCTCAAGATCTAGTATCATGCTGAGAGAACATGAAAACACAGAACATAAAACCAAATATATCTTTGATGCACAAAAAAAAAAATATATATATATATATAGAACATATAATAATTAGACAAAGACCAAGAAATTCGAAGACATTAACATAAAAAAAAGGAAACAAGATGAAAGGATATAGATTGAGAACCTGTTTGTGGGGAGAAACTAGAGTTTCAGTGTTTCTCTTGCTCAGTAGCTGCCACCTTAGTCCAAACCTGTGCTTGGTATTTGATAATGGTGTGTGTTTTTATGTGGCCAAAAGTTGGATGACTGACGAAGACTTCATGCCACTTTATTGAAATAATGAAGCTCTGTTTTGTCCAATCAATTATCTATGATTGAAGAATTCTAAGTAATGTTTGAAAAATTAATGACATGCAGTATTAGATAAAATATACAATTACTTTGCATTAAAACATTGTCATAAAATATAAGCATAATATGTTAAGTAATTATAATGATTGAATATTTTATAGCATAGTGGTAACTGTTATCTTAGGATATTTTTTAGTGTAGATGACGTTGGTGATGATATACTAAAGATACGTCATGTTGCAAAGACCATCATCAATGTGCTTTTTTATTTAATGTATATTTTCATTATCCCTAACAAGTTTTTGAGGCACCTTTTTTTTTTATATCAATATAGCGTAATTTAGTTTCTAAATATTAAATTATAGAAAATTTTAAATTTTTTATTAAATTAAAGTAAGTTTCACCGTCCAATTATTATTTATTAATTAATTTAAACAAAAATAAATTAAAAAATCACAAATATTACATACGATTTACCTTTTTAAATTTTAAACATGTAAGTCTTGTATATCATAAAGGATTTATTTATTTTATTAAAAAGTTGCTATGAATTAAAACTTGCATAAAAATTATTTTTATTAAAATTATAAAATATAGTAAGATATAATATATTAATAATATTGAAAGTTACAATTTTTAAGAATATATTATTTATAATTTTTTTATTATATTTTTTTTCACATTAAAAATGATATATTTTACTTTTAAGAATAAATGGTTGTTTCATTAATATACAAACACATACATATAGATTAAATTACACGAATGTAACGTAGATTGATTTTTATATTATTTAATAAGTTTTTATTAAATAATTCAATAGTATAAATTATGCTTGCAAATTTTTAAATTAATCTAAAATCATTAAAATCATACATACTTTAAAAATATATAAAAATAAAAATCTTTGCATTATTATATATATTATTATATAAAAGTATTAACAGTATAGAAATATTGTAATTTATATCTAAGTGTAATTTGATCCCATATATATATATATACACGAGTCAATTTTAAAATTACATTTTTTTGGCACATGTTTTTTTTTCTCATTTTTTATTAATAAAAAAATTGGGAAAATGTTTAATTTATATTAACAATTATTAAAAGTTATTTATTATTTCAACGCCAATCAACTTGTCGTACTGCATTTACGTGAGATCATTCGTGTCACAACCAACGTTTTTCTTATCAGCTGTTCTCTCAATTTGTTTTGATTTTCACAACTTCTAACAAACTTTGCAAACACCATCAATTTATCTTTTCCTTCTATTCTCTTTCTTTATTTTTTGTACAACTTTCTCTTGTCTCTTTACTTTAGTTGTTTCGACAACACAACAAAAGAAATAAAGAACTTTTCTTTCTTTTCTACTTTTTCTTGTGATGATCAAAGTAAATTGTTATTTATCTATTAATTTTTCTTGTAATTATAAATTATATTTCTTGCTTATTTAATTATATTTTAATTTAAATTTCTTTTATTAAATTTAAGTTGAATTATACATTTAGTCCTTATAGTTAATGTATATTTACAAATTAGTTTCTATACTTACAAAAATTCTGTTTTAGTTGTATATGCAAAGAATCTTAAGTGGTAGATTCACTCACTATATCTACATGCTTGCGATCTGGGTCAGATCTAAATTAAACTAGATAAAAAAACAAAAAAAAATTATGTTTTAATCTTTATACAAAAATTTTGTTATATTTTACTTAATGCTATAACAATGTCCACAGTGAAAATAATTAAATTATATCAAAATATTTGTGTAGTGATTAAAAAGGTAATTATTGTAAATATAAGGACTAATATATATTTTTTTTAAGTATAAAGATTAAAAGATAAGTTTTTTTTTTAAGTACAAGGACGGACTCGTAAACATATCATATATATAAATATTAACCAATTATAATTTTAAAGAAGTTGCATAATTTAACCTTAAGTATTCTAATCAAGTATTTATTCAACTTTTGTAGTAACCAAACACTTAATTAAGTCCATATTTTTTTATATGATATATCAAGAGCAATCATGATGCATTGTTGGTGATTGTGGTCGCTTGACCAAGACTACTCATTTCCTTCTAATCAATATGAGGTACAAGTTGGAGAAATTGGTGGAGGTGTAACATAAAGGAGATAGTTATACTGCATGGAATACCTCCAAGTATTGTATCAAATAGAGATTCAAGGTTTACATCAAAATTTTAGAAAAACTTACAAAGAGCTTTGACAACCAAGTTGAAGCTTAGCTCAGCATATCATTCCCAGACTGACAGGCAAACAAAGCGGACTATCCAATCACTTGAGGGTTTGTTACGAACTTGCGTGATGGAGTAATAAGGAGCTTGGGATGAATGTCTACCTTTGGTATAATTACCTTACAATAATAGTTATCCCACTAGTATCAGTATGACACCACATGAGACATTGTATGGAAGAAAGTGCAAAACACCTTTGTGTTAGTATGATGCTGGAGAAACAATTCTGTATGCACTAGATATGGTTCAGAGGCAGAATAACCAAGTTAAGATCATTAGAAAGAAGATAAAGGTCGCGCAAGACAGACAAAAAAAGTTATTATGAATAATAAAGGAAATCTCTAGAGTTTCAAGTTGGTGACATGTATTTTTGAGGGTTTCACCCATTACTGAAGTTGATAGAGCTTTGAAATCTAGAAAATTGTCTCCTAAATTCATCGGACCATTTAGAATCCTGAGTAGAATTGGCCTTGTGACCTATCAGATTGCCTTACCTCCAAACCTTTCAAATATGCATCCATTTTTCCATGTATCCCAGCTCAGAAAATACATTTCTGATCCTTTTCATGTAATTGAAATAATTCTTATCCAAGTTCAAGAGAATCTTGTTGATTACCTAGTCAAATAACTATGATTACCTAGTCAAATAACTAAGCAATAAAGACATTATTGATGAAAGTGATATGAAATGCAAGTGATGAAGGAGATGACACCTAGGAGCCTAAGGATAATATGAAGGAAGCATACCTTCATTTTTTCCTAAGCTAGTGAATTTCAAGAAAGAAATTCTTTAAAAGGTGAGAGAGTTGTAACATCCTTATTTTTATATTTATTGTTATGGCATTGTATATTGGTTGTATGTTGGAAATTATTTAAATTTAGGAGAGTTTATAGTGTAAACTATAGGGTATCTCACTGTAGCGAGAAAAAGCTTCTACAATTAGGCTCTTTGACTCTCTATCGCTGTAGCAAGAGATTCTAATTGTAGCGAGAAGTGAATAAGGATAACCCAACAACATTTTTATTGTAGCTATAATTCTTTCATTGTAACGAGAAGCTGTAGCTAGATTGAAAGACAACAAAAGAAAAATTTGCCTGATTTTTTCGCTACAGCAAGAAAAGAACTCATTATAGCGAGTATATCATGAGTTAAGGAGTATTTAAGGGTTTACAACCTAGAAAACTTGGATTACAATCCAAGTTTCAACCTTTCCTCTGTTTTCTCTGTTCTCTCATTCTTTTCTCAAAAAGTCTCCCCTAAACTTCAATCTTCATTCAAATTCGGGCTTAGAAGTTTAATCAATCAACTCCAAGTAAGTCCTTGAAGCTTAATTATCCCATTTTTGTTGTTTTCTCTATTTCTCATTTCTCAAAATGCTCTCTCTTGTGATACTTAGGAAAGACTTAGTTCTTTCACCAAAATCTTTCACAAATCTCCTTTCAAAACTTTATTCTGATATAAGGAGAGCTTTATTTCGTCACTTTAAGCATAATAAATATTTTGTTTATTTTCTTATGTGTAAATGCATGATTGAATGATATTGAACTGTTGTAAAAGGTTAATGAAGTATGTTTGGCTGATTTTGAGTGGTAATGCTACATTCTGGTAGTATATGTGTTTTGGATTTAGTCTGGAAGTGCTTTACTAAGCACAATTTCTTACTTAAGTAATGAGTTTGACACACACAAAAAAGCATGAGATGAATATAAAGTGTTGAATGGATCTAGTGTGAATAATTATAGAGATACACTGAGTATAGAGTCTGAAAATGATGAGAAATCTAGAAAAAATGTAAGGTGATGAGCGACATTCGCGTATATGTATATACTTTTTCTGAGAGCGAATGCGCCACATGGCCTCATACTCATTTCCTGACTAGACTCCTGACTATATCTTTACTAAGGAGCTCATTATTGTATATGTTGCACTCATGTATATGGGCTAACTGGCAACTATTTATCTAGTTGAGTAAGACCTTGGAAAGTGCTGGAAGCATCTTCTTTTTGTGATCACTGTGCATTAAGAGTGCATGTTTTAAGGAGAGAACTGAATAATTTATGACTAATTTGTGTATTGTGACTATGTGATCATTATTGTTCTGTAAATTAGTTGTGGAATGATGATGTTTTCTTTTAAGTTATAACTATGATTTCTTGTAATATGATTTGTAAAATGGTAGAATAGATGCTCATTCTTACTTAAATTTTCAGGGAATTATGATGACGACATCCATGAAAAGAATTAGATTAATAGATAGTTTTGGACAATGTAAGTCAAATTTTGTATTTAATGAATATCAAAGAACTTGTTATTTTAAGTTGGTCATAGACTGTGTCGATGTACCTAGCCATATTTATATTTTGGAAATGAAATTGTATTATAGAATCCCCATAGACTTTCCTGTAAATAGTGGAATCCACCACACTTTATGTATATGTATCTATAGATGTACAGTTAGGACTCCGACAACTGTGACCTACCCGTGCACGTATCACGATCATGACCTTCTTGGAAGGTTGACCCAAGTTACTTTCAAGTGAGTTTCAGGTGTTGAGATTGCAGCCGATTCGAAATATTTCTACCTCAGATCAGATAGGAATCTTGATTCGAATGATTTAGTAGAGATAAAGATATGACATAGTGATGACTAACACCAGGTCCTCAGTATTTTGGTTATGGCTTGGAACTGCTTTTGGGACTTAGTATTTTTTATTATGTAATTATTATTCTAGTCCCTACGCTCTTTTGATGAACATTTTGAAAAATATTGCATTTATCAGTAGATGAAAATTTAGTATATATATTTCTTTAATTGTTTTTGGCATATTATGATTATTAAGTTACAATTCACTTTGTTCATCATATTATGTTAATAATAGATTATTTTAAAAATAGCTTTATTTATGGAAAGACTTTAATTTTTTTGTACACTCCTTTCCTATTATCATTAAATATGAAAATTATATGATTTATCTCGGTTATATACCAATAATTGTGGTAATTTGAGAAATTAAAATTGAGGATGTTATATTAGAATTGCATATCTCCAACTAAAAGTCTCACACTCATGCAAACCACTCACACGTGATAGTCAAGATGAATTTTAGCACCTGATTTGTTTGCTAACAAAAAGTTACAAAGTACTCACATACAATATGATTGAGTATAACACAATTTTGTGTCTAAATTTTCATTTTCAAGCAATTGTTGAAAATTTGCACTAGACCAATAGAAATTCACAAAGTTCCCTTTCATGTTCCCTATTTTGGAATGACTCCCAAGTTATCCACACAATACTATGATATCATATCCGTGAAATCTCATCGAATTATATGTGCAATGACTCCAAGTATATCCACACAATACCATGATATCATATTCGTGAAATTTCATCGAATTATATATGCATCCAACAGTTGGTCTTCCAACTCATAATCCTAACTAAAATGTTATGTCTTCAAGTGTGATTATTTACTCTCCAAATGAAAAATAAAATGTGTGTAATTTTAACCACCATTGATAAGTAAGCAATTTAACAGGTACTTTATTATAATCATAATATCCAACGTATAATAAGTGCTAAAATATAATATTTTAAGGTAAAGTTGTAGCTACAAATTAGATAAGTTAATTATTGTCGATTTATTAAACAGACACATACGTTGTATCAAATAAAATAATTTACGTTAAACTATCAAAATAATATTAAATTATAAAAAATTCAATTATAATACACTTAAATTAACTAAATTAAACTAATCGAAGTAAAAATAAATTATAACAAATTTATTTTTTTTAAAATTATTTTAACTAATGAATATAAATAAATTATCAATTCTTGCAATTTTACAAAAATTTATATACTATCATAATCACAATAATTCATAAATTGTTTTATATTTTCTTCTTTCACTTTTGTAATTAGATTCAATATTCTACAATTTTTCTTTCAACCTACGTCGCATAACATTTATTTGCTTATAATAGCTACATAGGTCACCCCATGTTCATTAGTAGCACGTGTGCCCATCCAAGTACAATTTATTCGCTTGGAATGACTTAGTAAAAACTATATTTCATATCACTTTAATACAATTTATATATTAAAAAACATTTTAAAGTTTTCAAAAACCAGAACATTTTAAAAGTTTTTTATATTTTTATTTTAAATAAAAAATTAAAAATTAAAAATTAAAAACATTTAAGAAGTGGAAAGCGTGTTCCACGTGAAACGGGGCATGGCCAAGGCCCTATTTACAGCAGAGGACAGAGGTAACAGTACTAATGTACCAAAGAATAATAAGCATGTGGTCCAGTGACTCTGCAACACTTCAATGGCACTTACTATTTTGTGCTGTAAAGTAACTTTATTGCCGTAACTTCTGTATTTTTTTATTTAGTTCGGGCCTGAAAAGGTTGCTACTTTCAACATATAAACTAAACTATGCCAAAATCTTATAATTGTGTTAGTGATAATGTTTATATAATGATTATGTTTAATGTGGTTTCACAAAGCTTTCAGACATTGGCCAAATTCGTAATTTGAGCCCAAAAGCACAGTACCTCGCTTTTTTCTATATCGAAAATATTTAAATATTAAAAAGATTATAAAAATATTGAAATTTTGAAAAGATTATAAAAATATTGAAATTTTGAAAAGATTATAAAAACATTGAGAATTTTTAAAAATTGACATTGACAGAATTTGAGATGAAAAACGTGTTGACAATTTTTGATAATTTAATTTGGATGAAAGTTTTTTATTGTTTTTTATTAACTTAGTCTAACTATTTGTTCGGAGTCTGAATTTTTAGCTAAAACTTAGGTAGATAAGTTTTCTTAATGACATGATATATTAACTTCCATGAGAGGAGGCATTTACTTTTTGGAAATTTAAAAAGAAACTGATCTCATAATTGACACATCTCATTAATAGTGATAAAAAAGAAACTGATGTTTTAAACTCACCAGCTTGCATTTGAGTGGTAAAATTTCTAAGCAGATCAAATAGTATCAATATTTTGGATGAAACACACCAATAACCCTTAGAAAGTTTAAAGTGGTGAATAAGAAAACAGCAACTCCCACAATGGTTGAACTTACTCTCCAAGGGTCACGGAAGTACACATATCTTAGCATACCCATATAGCGCTTCCAATGGCTGTTGTAGTGATCATTGAGTTCCTTTATGATTTTGTCATAATAATTAGAGTTTACCATAACATGTTTGCAAAGATCATTGATCACAGTTGCCAATTCTGTATGGCTTCCAAGTTCATGCACAATTGTTTCTTTGTCCACCAGCAACTCCACATCCTCTTGAGTGTTAATAAGAGAGTCAATTAGAGAAACATAGTTGCATATGAAAGGTTGCTCTGAATAGTGACACTGCTCCAAGGCAATGAGGTTCCTTAGGACACATTCTGTCACTTGGTCTACTTTTAAGTGAGGAATTTGCAAACGGGCTTTGAAACATGTGGAGAATGGTAAGCAACCAAAACACAGGAACCAACTAAGGATCGGAGTCTTTGCAAACTTTATGTCCAAATAGCTCCTACCTTGAACTTTCTCGAAGCTAACCCCTGCCTCATCCAACTTTGTGGCAGTCCTTGGGACATATTCTACTCTACAAGGGGTGAAATATTGTGATGGATTCACCCCCTCAACTTGGACTTGTGTTGGAAGGTAGGTGTACCTGATCAAATCAGTGAAGTGTTTGCAAGATTTTAAGTTCTTGATCATCTCATCTTTTTGACTTGACTTGTGTGGATAATAATCTTCAAAGTAGTTAAAGGCAAGCTCAATAAAACTAACTTTTTCCTTGCTGCAATCATCTCCAGGAAACACCCTCCTGTGCAATTCCTCTAACACAAACATGGGAAGCTGGTTTTCAAGTAGTAACAAGTCCCTTTGTGTACTTTTGCAAACCCATGATGAGGTGAACATGTGATCATTTTTCGGTTCACCTATGTTTGATTTTCTCAAAAAGAGCTCCATGATGAAGACAGAATCTAAGAGGATCATGTCAACAAACTGTTCATCCTTGTAGAGTTCTGGCTTGGAATAACAGTTCCCTATCCTTTCTCTATTATCTTCAAGGAAAATTTTGTATTGCATCAAAGCTAAAGCTTGCTTGCTGGATAAACGTTTCCAAAACGCATGAAAGTACCTTTGTTTCTGTTTCTCTTGCTTTAGCTCTGAATTACCACTGTGAAGAGGGCCTATTGAGATAAACTGTGGTGTATAGGCTTTCACATTCAAGTTCAAGAGATGGAAAGGAACCTTGTAAATGCAGCATTCATCAGGCACCACAGGCTCAATTTGTTCAGGAATTTTAATTATGTGCTGGATCTGAGGTTTAACTTCAGGTAAAGCAATGTAACCAGTAGTTGAAGCCATTCAAACACAATTTCTTCTTCCCTAGCAATACCACAAAAGCAACATATATATATATATATATATACACATTAAATCACTTACAATACATTGAAATTAAGAACTTCAACTTAACAAAATGACATGCAACTATACTTCTGTTTAAAGAAAAAAAATGTACAAAATTAAGGATATATCATCTCAATTGAACTTCAATATAAGTAGTTACACGCATTTTCGAAGGCCTTCAACCCCAGTTAGTACACAGTATCAAATTATTGAAAGACATGAGAAGACAGGTGAATAGTATTTCCCAAACAAGCAGTCAAGATCAATTATATTGCTGAGAGAACATGAAAACACATAACATACAACCAAGGATAATAGTTTTCAGCTGTCGGTTGAGCAAAATCTTTGATGCACAAAAAAAAAAAAATATATATATATATATATATATATATATATATATATAGAACATATAATAATTAACCAAATACCAATAAATTAGAAAACACTATCATAAAAAAACCAAAAAAGAAAGAAAGAAAGAAAGAAAACAAGATGAGAAAGGATGTAGATTTAGAACCTGTTTGTGGGGAGAAACTGGAGTTTCAGGGTTTCTCTTACTCAATAGCTGCCACCTTACTACAAGCCTGTCCTTGGTATTTAAAAATGGTGTATGTTTTTATGTTGGCCAAAAGTATTCATGCCACTTTATTTAAATAATGAAACCCTGTTTGGTTTCAGTCAATTATCTATGGTTGAAGAATTTTAAGTGATGTTTGAAAAAATAAAAGTATATAGTATTAGATAAAATATAATATTGTTATAAAATATATACATAATCTGTTAATTAATTATAATGAATAAATATTTTATAGTTTCTTATGTCATTAGTGGAAACTGTTATCTTAGGATTTTTACTGTAGATGATGTTGGTAATGATATGTTAAAGACATTTTTAATATTACTAGGATTTTTTTTATATTTTTATTATCCCTTGCAAGTTTTGAGGTTTATATATAATTAAAGTAAGTTAGACTGTCTAATTATATTTTATTAATTACTTTAAACAAAAAAATAAATTTAAAAGTCATAAATATTACATACGACTTACCATTTTAAATTTTAAACATGAAAGTCTTAAAATTATAGAATTTTATAAGATTTAACATTAATAATTTTAAAAAAACTATTATTTATAATTTTTTATCATATCTTTTTGTGCACACATTAAAAATAATACATTTTACTTTAAGAACAAATAATTGTTTCATTAATACACATACAATATTTTACTGAAAAGGTTAACGACATTTATAATTTTAATTAAAAAATTATATTATATTAAAAATATTGTTTATAATAAATTATTTGTGATAAACTATACATAACTTAATAAAAAATAACTTATTAATATATATTTATATTTTAAATTTTAAAACTTTTGTATATATACAAACTCGTGTATCACACTAGTATTATATATTTGTAGGATAATTTAAAAACTATAGTTCACTTGGTTCATTACTATTCATTCAATAGGAAAGGTTTACTAAAAAAGTTTAGTCAATTGACTTTCTCACCCTTTATAAACCTTTTAGGTATAAGACAAAGATTAAATGAATGTTCTAGCTGTACCCCATTAGTTTTACATTTACTGTTTTCTGGTAACACGTACTGTGTGTGATTCAATGGTCAAGCTCACTTATTATTTCCAGCTAAGCTAGCCACAATATTACTTTTATAATATTTTTTTATGACAGTATTCTGTAATAACTTCTCTTCTTATTTCTTTATTTATTGTTGAAATTATAGTGAGAAATTGTCATAGTTCTTATATAAATATCAAGACATGGTTATTGTGTAAATGAGAAGAATATCCCTTCTGTTCCTATTTAGAAAATGGGTTCCTGCATTATTAACTAAAATGACAAGGTTATATTAGAGAAAAAAAAAGATTTTTTATCAAACAAAAATTAATCATGAGTAGTTGTGGATTCATTAATTTAATTCGATAAAATTTTTTTATTTCTCTTTAATATAATCATATCATTTTATTCAATAATAGGAGAGGATTCAGAAGAACAATGATACATTCGAAAGTCCCTTTAATTTTTTTTTATTTGTAGGTGTTACTATTGTCACAATTTGTGAATGTTTCTTCTTATAAATAGCAATATTTATCGAATAAAGACTAATAATCATAAGTAACTGAAGGATTCATGAATTCAATTTAATAAAAAATGTTTTTTCTCTGTAACATGATCAAATTATGTTATTCAAGGAGAAGGCCCAAATGAAGAATGGTAAAAGGAAATGAAGTAAATTACAACAACAGATTTCAGTATTTTGGATGGTATAAACCAGTGACACGAAGAAAGTTAACAATGGCAAATAAGAAGATAACAACTCCTACAATAGTTGAGCTGAGTCTCCAAGGATCACGGAAGTAAACTGACCTTAACATACCCATATAATGCTTCCAACAGCTATTGTAGTGATCATTGATTTTCCTTGAGATTTTGCCATAATAATTGCAATTCACCACAACATTCTTGCAAAGACCATTTATCATAGTTGCCAATTCCTTATGGCAGCCAAGTTCATGGACTATGATTTCTTTGTCAACCAACAACTCCACATCCTCTTTAGTGTTAATAAGAGAGTCAATTAGAGAAACATAGTTGCACATAAAGGGTTGGTCTGAATAGTGGCACTGCTCAAATGCAATAAGGTTCCTTAAGACACATTCTGTTGTTTGAAGCACTTCTAATTGAGGGATTTGAAAACGAGCTTTGACCCATTTGGAGCATGGTAAACAACCTAAGCATAGAAACCAACTCAAAACTGGAATCTTCTTAAACTTTATGTCTAATAAGTTCCTGTGGTGAACTTTCTCAAAGCTAACTCCAGCTTCATTCAACTTAGTAGCAGTCTTAAGCACACATTCATGTTTGCCATTAAGGGTGAAATGTTCTGATGGATTCCACTCTTTAGCGTGAACCTTTTCTGGAAGGAAGAAAAATCTGATCAAATCTGTGAAGTGCTTGCATGATTTGAAGTTCTTGACCATATCATTATTTTGGTCACTTGTTGACTTATGTGGGTAATAATCTTCAAAGTAGTTAAATGCAAGCTCAAGAAAACTAAGACTATTTAGCTTATATACCCTTTTATATAATTCTTCCAAGACAAAGATTGGAAGCTGATTTTCAAGAAGTAACAAGTCTCTCTGGATGCTCTTGCAAATCCATGATGTGGTCAACATATAATCCTTTTCTTGCGCAGATTGTTCTGATTTTCTAAGAAACAACTCCAAAATGAAGATAGAGTCTAAGAGAATCATTTCCACAAACTTATCATCATCAAGTTTATCTGGCTCTGAATAACTACTTCTTATCATTCCAATGTTTTCATTGAGGAAGGCTTTGTATTTGGCCAAAGCCTTTTTGTTTGTTACACGTTCCCAGAAGGCAAGAAAGTACCTTTGCTTCTGTTTATGCATTGGCTTTAGCTCTGGTTTGTTGTGGTGAAAAGGGCCTATTGAGATCAACTCTGGTGTGTAGGCTTCCCCATCCTTCAACTTCCTGAGATTGGGAGGAACCTTGTAAATACAGCACCCATCATGCAGCTCCGCCTCAATCTTTTCAGGAATGACAATTATGTGATGAATCTGAGGTTCTTCAGGAACAGCACTATAACTAGTAGCAGAAGAAGCCATTCAAATTCAACTTCCTTTTCCCTCTAAACAGTTCAACAAAGAGGAACCTGGTCAACCTACAACAAATCACTTGTTATTCACACAACCGTACGCCAAAGGATACAACTTATAAGCAATACATTAGGTGCTTTAGGTATTATTCTTCAATCAAAATTAAAACATTGCTATTTTAAATAAAATTCTAATTTTGATGGAAGAAAAGTACCAAAATACTCAAGTTACAGTACTTAAGTTTTGTCCTGTACAAAAACTAGTTCTTTTTTTTTTATGTAAAAAAAAGACATGCAGAATTAATCAAGTAAGAAAGTAGATAGCATGAGGAATTCCCTTTGAAAGTTATTTCATCCACAATTAATCAACTCTAACAACAACAAAAAAAAAAAGAACTTGAAACACAAGGCATAGAGTACCAGGCTACAAAGTTTCCCATAAAGGAAACTGGTAAACACTTGGTTTCAATAGTTGCTGGTAAACAGAAGAGCAATATGACTGATTTTGGTGGTAATTACCTATAATGGGAAGTGTTGGCGGATATAAAAGTTCAAAAATTCACTTGCTTGGAAATTGCTACCATTAGATAGGTGTGAACCTCTCTCTGCCTAGTCCTTCGTAAGAACTGTGCTATTATATCTGCATTTGTTTCTTTACCTCTGAGAGATCAATTTATATGTGCAAACTATTTGTCTACATCGATATTATGTAGTTTGATTTTATATTCTTGTTCTCTTTTTCTTACATAGACTTTGGTATTTTCACACAAGGTAATCATGTTGAGGTCAGAACCATATATAGTGGAACAGGTTATCTCAGTGAATATTTTTTTCATACAAAAGAATTGAATCCAAGACTTAGTCATATACTTCCTAGTTCTATTTAGAAAAAAAAATTACTATAAATTTTTTTTCAGTTTACATTATAAGAAATAGATTCATTTTCAAATATATAGATTCATAATTTTTTTATACACTCGTGTATTGTGAAATCATGTTAACAAAGTAAACAAATTGGATCATATATTAGTGTGAGTATTTTAAAAATACAATTATGAAAGTGACCGAAATGTAGATAGTTTAACCAATGATTGGTGAGCTTCTTCCCACTTTCAGTGTTCTTTTATCCCACTTGCTATTTTATTTTGCATTTCTCGCTGGCAGTAACAGCCTAGCTCACAAGAATATACTAAAACTCGTCAACATTTTCCAGTCCTTCAAGAATTTGCACTCAGTTGTCGTATGCTCTTCAAAGACATTTTCATCACGACAAAAATATTATAATATTTTGGGAGCAATAATGATGCTTTCTCACCATTTGTATTAGAATTCTAATTCGTTGGAGATATAATATTTTTTTTTATGAATAACACTAATAACACACTTTTTATTAATAACTAAAATTTACAAATATTGTATGAATCTCACTCTTTTCTATTATAAATTAATGTTTATTTCTTATATTTTTTAAATTTTTAATAAATTTTAGTTAATAATAAAAAGTATATTAGAGAGGTTGTGATATTAACATTCCTTTTTATTTTTTTGTAAAATGCAAGTATCATGCACTGACTGACTTTTATATTAATCAATGATTCATGTCATGTTATTCTATTGAATCTTGCTCTATATATTGAAAAAGTGTAACAAAATAAATAAGGTAAAATTAGTGTAAGACTCAAATTCGATTTTGTTCTACAATTTTATTTTGATTTATTTAGGTTTTCTAACTTTTAAAAAAAATTTAAATAAATTTTTTTCATTAAAAATGTTAATTCTATTTAAATTTTTTTTGTGACATGTACTATTCTGTACTAATCCATTAATACAACATGAACATTATTTTCTTCTAAATTCAAAGCAATGTCTACAGTACTCTCTTCAAATTCTATTAATTCACCCACCATTACTTCATCAAAACCATAAATTCAAGCAATATTGTTGCCTCTTTAAAGTACAATACCAGAATTTATAATTTTTACTTCAGAATCATATTTCTCAATATATTTACAGATAATTTCACTAATTTCATTTATGGTCTTTTTCTTTAATTCTATATATTGTTGATTGTCTTTTTCCTCAAATTTGCATACTGTTCACCGTAATTTTCTTCAAATTTTTAATTTTACTTTCTTAGTGAGATCATCTTGCCAAATTCAAAGGATGTTCCTTTCTTACTTATTAAGGATTCACGCAAATCCAACTGGGCACAAACCTTGTGAAATTTTAAAACTTTACATTGAGATTATTGGTGATTGATTCGAGGCAAAGGGAGGAAAGATTCTAATTTAGAAACTTTGCATTGAGATTATTAGTGATTGATAGGTGTTGTTAGTTGTGTAGTTGCATTTGTCATTGACGTAGAAATAATACTGAAAAATAAAATGGAACAATATTACACAAACCTAAGAAAGAATGCAAAATGAGAGATTTAAGGAAAATAACGATGAACAGTATAAAATAATACACATGATGGAAAAAGAACAAAGTTAATTAATGTTTTTAATAGAAAAAGAATTTATTCAAAATATTTTTAAAAGTTAGATGAAAAGAAGAATTTAAATAAAATTGGAAGGTAAAATTAAATTTGACTTTTAAATTAAACGACGAAAACACTGATTTTATCAATAAATAAATAAGTAAAATTTAATCAAACACTAAAATTAAATTGGGATAATTCTATAGATTTTTAAAAAAATTAACCTTAATTTAGATTAAAATATCATAAATTTAACATATTGTAATCATAGAGAAATATACGTTGACTTTACTATTTTACGTGTTTTGTTTTTCACATTAGAACAGTAAAATAGTGTTCCTCCATGTCCCATTCTCTCATGCAAGTGTGAACACCATTTTCACGGGGTCATGCTGACTTTCTTCCACACTAGTTGGCGATAAGGTAAGGTTTACTTTATGTAGTCAATACAAATGAATGGATATATAATAACATTTTGCTCCTTGTGTTTCCAGAAGTATGATATCACTCATAACTAAAGAAGATAATTAAGATCATGTTTGTCTCCTCAAGAATTAAATAGAACCCATTATGTTCGCACAATGAAGAATAAATGATTTTATAATCTGCTTTTCATTTTCAATTAATTAATTCCAAACCATTCCCTTGTTGAGTTTGTGATGTTGTTACTATCTTTATAGTCCGATGATTAAATACCTTCCTCAGATGAAAGAAAATAGACAAGATCATGTGTGAGATTATGAGAACAACTCTATCAATGCGTTCTACATTTTACAAATAGTTGCTCCTACAATCTATTATCACTTCTTTCAACTTTTTTTATTTGATTTGTAATTTTTGAATTATTTTCACTTATTAGTATCATTATCGTTTACGCTATCAAATGAAAATTTGTAATTTAATTTAATTTCTTTCATGCATGAGAAAAAAAAAGTATGTCTGATCTTTTCTTTTTTATCACGTACAAGACTTATTAAATAGGTTAGCTTAAAGGATTTTTCAAAACATATATTTAATTAAGAAAATCAGATTTTTAGACCTATTTAAATACCCAACAACAATAATAACATATAAGCTTACAACGACATTATGTTTATTATTGTATTAAAATTTCATCATAATATTTTAAAATTATATACTTGTTACATTAGTCTGTTTAAAGGTTTAGAGATAAGCATGAACAAAAACTCTCCTTAAAAAGTAAATTTTTAAATAAATTTTGAGATTAAATTAAACTTTTTAAAAATTCAAATTAAGTAAGCCCTTAATTTGCTCATATCTAGAGCTTGATTAGAACACAGTTGGAACAGAGGTTACCCGATTTTCAATGCAAAATTTTCAAAGAAAAAATTTAACTTTGGTTCAAACTTGGTTAGTAAAGATATACAAATAGACCCTTACTTCCAACCAAGCATGCACTCGAAGCATATCTATCTCTATCACCTATTTCTAGTTTATCCAATTGGAAGACTTCAATGAAAACAAACAAATATGTAAATGTCTAAGAAACAAAAGTAAAAATAAAATAAAAAATTAAGAGCTTGTTTATTTTCTATTTGTAAAAACAGTTATTTTTTAAGTAAAATAAAATAAATTTTGTTTATTAACACAAGTTTTGTTTTCATTTTCTTCTCAAAAACAAATTTTTAAAATTATTTTAAAATATAATTTTTAAAAATTAAAAATCATCAATACCATGCCTTTGTGAAAGCAGTTTGTAATGAGCTAAAAGGAAGCAATGAAACCTACAACTGCAATAGCCTTCATCCTTCCCCCTAATCTTTTAAGAAACAAATAACCTCCAAAGGAATTATACACACACTTTCATCAAAGATTTGTAATACACCATAATGGAAATGGAATAGAAGTCTAAAACACTAGGGATAATAGAAAGCAAATATAGAAATATAATTACATGCTTAAATGTTCTAAATCTAATTGGCCAAATTTATAAAGAAGAAAGTAAATTGCGAAAAAGTTAAAACCCTATAGCATTTAACAAATCATATGGAAAAGCATTCAAATATTTAATTTACATCATTTGCATATTAACAATTTTGTCTATTGGGATAAAGTTTAGCTGTTGTTTTACATGTTAACAATTTTGGTAAGATATCAATTATCTCATACCACCCCCATCAAATTCTTGCCAAAATATTGATAAAAGTTTAGGACCTAGAACCAAAATGGAAAATATTAAAGCAAAAATACATTGAATATTTAGTTTATATGTCTGGATCCAGCAACCAAATATTGTGACCAGTTGCACACTAGAAATTGTTGTATTATTCATTGTGAAGGCCCATCAAAGCCAATGAGCAATCAAAAACCACACCATTTCACAATTAATTAATCACGATTAATAGTGGGATTGGATTATGAAAAAAAATTATCAGGCTTGATTAATGAAAACATTTAGTGGGCCACTAATCAAATCAAAGATAGTAAGGATTGTTGCTTCATGTTGAGAATGAGAATTATTCCACACAAGTAAACATGGGAATAGGTTATTAAAAGTAATAAGCAAAACCTATAATATTTATATGTTATATAACAAAAATGTATCTTGTCCCATATAGCTAGATCAAGAATGGAACAAACTTATGATGCCTTCAACTCATTGAAATGGATTACTTAAAATAAAACAACAATTTAACCATAATTTTTTTCTAATTTATTTCGCAAATAAATAAGATGAATTTGATTCATTCATCCTTATATGATTTGTCACTATATGGTACACAATACATTTTCCAAACGTTAAAAAGAAAAATTAGTTCCATGACCAAAAGATGTAAGAATTTCAATGATTATTCAAATCCTAGAACTAGCAACTCAAAACTCTAATCTTGCATGAAACATGAAGGTTTTACGGGACAACGACCATATTGTTATAAATAAAACGCAAAATGAAAACATGAATGTGTTATGTGTACACCTATTTATTGCTGATATTCAACAATTCATAGAGCTCTTTGTTGTGTTTTTTCCTCTCCCTTGGATGAGGGATGATGATTTCCTTATATTGGCTTGGTCCATTGACACCAAAATAATTAAATAACAACCATTTGATCAAATATCAATAACAATAAGAATCTTTTTCTTTTCATATCTTCATTAGTCAAACAACCAAACAACATAAAATTAGAAACATCCAATGATCCAAATAAGATTGACGAAAAAACCTTGAGAAGGGGATCAAGAACTTCATACAACTCAAGGGACACAAGATAAATACAATCCTGGAAAGCATGCCTGCAAAATAACAATACTTGCATTAAAATCTAAAAATAAATAAATAAAACCTCCTCCTTGACATCATCATCATAATATAATTATTAGGGAGAAAACAAAAAAGAAGAAGCTGAATCCAATTAAGTAAACCAAATTGATAAAATAAACCACAACCCTACCTCTAAAATCACAAGTATTAACACACTCAAAACCATACATCATAATGATATATGTAATTAACAGGCAAAAACACTGCAAAAATAAGTTAAACCATCAAATCCAGAAAAACAAATAACCAAACCAAATTCATCAAAAATATAATAAACTGAACATTACATCTAGTTGTTTCTGCACCCTCTTTGGCCTCTTCATAGGCTTCTTCGGTGGCATGGCCCTGGTCATGCAAATGAAATCCTTCTCAATCTCTTTTGCCTTAAGTGTAATCGAAAACACCGACATCTTCGACACCACTTCCACATTCATGTTTGGTGCAACCACAGCCTTTTCCCTAAGCACTAATCCTTGAACTTTAGGCCTACCTTGACCACGAGTCACTCTACGCCGTGACTTATTTGCATTTACCAAATCATTCTTAATTTTTTGCTCCTTGTCAAGCTTTCTCGGCCTCATGTTCCATGTCTTCACAAATGGTTCCTCTTCCTCTTTAACATCCTCATCTTTGTCCTCAATGTCAACATCATTGGTCTCATTATAGTTCTTACTCTCCTCCAAAATTTGAGGAAGGAGTTTATCGGTTGAAGAAGTGGGGTGATTCATGTTCCAATAGCAGTTGAAGTTATGAAAAGAATTATAAAATGAGGGTGTTGGGGGTACAAGTGATGGTGCCATTAGCATGGTGGGGTTATTGGGGGTGTTTGGGTCTCAGATATTGAATTTAGCACCATGATTGTGGGTGTGGATGAAGATGAATAACTACACAAAAGAAGGAGAGTAAGATGGAGTTGAAGTGAAGAAACATGGGTGCAAACTAAAAGGACATAGTAGAGATGGAATTATGGAGAAATAAGAAAGGGAGCAAAAATGGAGGGTGTGTTATGTGCCATTATGAAACTAGCATGTTTAGAAAAAAAATCCATATATTAGATTTTTGGGAAGGATCTTCTCATATTAAGTAAATGTAAAAAATTTTACATTTAATTAATATGATTTTTTCATTTAACTTACATATAATTGTCAGATATAAATTAAATAAAAAAATTAAATTGAATGTAAGAATTTTTAGACTTATAATAATATAAAAATATTGTGTTTCTAAATTTTTAAATATTTTATTTTTATTAAATTTAATATGAGAAATTCAAGATATTGCATGTAATAAGTGTGTAGTGTTATAAATATAAATATATCCACAAATGGGGCATCATTTTTTAAATTTTATTTTGGCTTTTGAAATGTATAAAAATTAATTTAATTTAAATTTTGATAAAAATAGAAATTAAAAATTTAACTAAATAGAATAACCGATGTTTAATTGCAGTCAAATGTATCTTGGATATTTTCAAATTTCTAAAAAATCAAATTAAATTTTATCACGTTTAACATACTATTTTATTTAAGAAACTACTATGTTCGACGAATTAGAAATTGATGGCATTGAATAATAAATATAAATATATTCATAAATAGTCTTAATTTTACATTTTATTATTGCTGAAAATGTATAAAAATGAATTTTTTTTAATATAAAAATTTTGATTGTAACTGAAAAAAAGAAAATGATGAAAATTAATATACATTCCATTTTTAAAACCAATTCAATTTACATCGACTTAAAAATTTTATGATCAAAATATTTTAACATAAAAAATATTAGTAAAATATATGAAATGAACATCTATGAATAAAAACTGGTATTAATTTCGATTTATATTTAGAATATGAAATTTAACTTTTCAAACATAAAAAATTAAATTAGTATTATATTTATTATGTATTTCTGTATATGAATTTGTAATTTTTCAGGAATTCTAATAAAATTGTGTTCTAAAAAATTTACTGAATAAATAAATTTGCAATTCGAACTTACAGTTTGTTATTTAAAACTAATGAAAAATAAATAACGTGATTGCATCGATTTCTTTTTTACTAAAAATCAATCACATTCACTACACATGCTAATGATAAAAAATAAAAAAAAAACAACTTATGGATCATTTAATGTTTTAGTATTTTATTGAAAGTAGATAATGCACAAACTCAAATAATTTTTATTATTTGATTAATTGGTAATTAAATTTAATTAAGACATAAAATAGTAGGTGTATTGAATATAAATATAAATATATTCATAAATTTTGCCTAACTTTAATTTTTATTATTTTTTTCAAAATGAATAAGAGACTGTCCTTATCCTTTAGATATCAAATATTTGAAACCCAAATTATTTTCATTATCATCGACTAATAAAGAATTGCAATTAAAACATTAACTAAAATAACAAGAAATTTCAAATATTAAATTAATTAAATTTATTTCCACAAAGAAAGTCCTGTGTGTATTTTAAAATTTATTTAAAAGCTACAATGTTAGAAATATAGGAAATTCATTGGTATCAAATATAATTTTCTTTTAGTTTAATTATTTAAGTGATGGATTTAAACAAATACGTAAAACTGATAATTATTTTAGATTTATATATATAATTTGAAGTTTAAATTTTGATGTATTTGAATTAATTGCTTTTGTATTATCTTTTTTATATTTAATCGACTTTGATTCATATGTTTTTATGAAATTTATTAAATTTGTATATTAAAAAATTACTAAAATATAAATTTGGTTCATAAGAAAAAAAAAAAAGAGATGCGAAATAAAATAATTTACTATTATATACTTAAAATGATTAAATATATGTACTAAGTTAAAAATAATTTTGTTTAATAAGTTTAAGTTATTTTTTTCTCTAGTAAGGAGGGATGTGAATCCCCTCCCTCTTTCTTTCAAATTATTTCATTAAATATAAAAAATATATAAAAGTTTCTCCCTTTTCTTTCCTTCTTCTCACATTCCTCCGATCAAATAATATATAAAGTAAAAAAAAATGATTAAAAAGTGTCAAACATAACCCTCTTGTTTACAGCCATTGATATTCACCTTTCTTTTTCAGTAGATACATCATCATGAATAAGAAATATCAAACAATGCAAGCCAATAAAATTATATTATTCACTCTTTGTTATACAGTCAAATTTATTTGTATTAAGCAACTTTTCCTCATCTCACAATTTATAATATATAAATCATAATTGCCTTTGAATGAAATAATAGTAACCTTTCGTTTCTTCACTATAATTGTAAGAGTGTGTTGGACTTAGATGGGTTCTTTTTTATTTTCTTTTCCTATTAGAAAGATTTTTGCCATGTCTTACCTTCCTAAAACACATGGGAAAAAAAAGCATAACGTTTTATAATTGAGATAATTTTGTTTTTGAAATTTGAAGGGTGCTTTGGAGAATCACATATTAAGGATTGAATTGTGTTTAATTCAATCCCAAGAGTTAATTTAAAACAAAAGTATCATTCTAGTCTTCTTAGAACTACTTTGAGTTTGACCAGATGAAATATCCAATTTCTACAGCAGTCACTGAAAACTTTTTTCTTTTTGTAATTTTTCCATAGGTCCAACCTCCCAACTTAGAATCATAGTTTAAGTTTTTTTTTTTTTCATAAAAATTGATAGCAATTAGTCCCTAGTATATAATTAAAAGGATAAAAATTACTTTTTTAAAGGATTATATATTAAAAATTAATGACAGAAACTAATTTTTTTATTTTTTAAAATGTTAGGAACTAAATATTAACAAAAGAAAATCATAAGGGCCAGTACCATAAACAATAACATTTATAAAAACTAAATATTAATTGGTTTTTTTTATTACTTCCATCCTTTTTCTTCAATTTCGTCTAATAAGTACCTTGTGCTCCTTCAAATAAAACTCTAAGACTAGGATCTTATGACCCAAATATTGTGATAATTCTAAGGGGAGAAGCTATTCTTATTTTGTACTGAGGAAACAATAATTAAACTTCCAACTTTTACAATTACATTACCTCTTACTTTTCCCATTCTGTTTTTGATAGGTGGAGGGAAGTGATCCACATGTTGATTAATTGATGATATTTTTCTGCTTATTCATAGAAAATTTTTCCTCATTTGATTTTCTTAAAATAGCAGTCAAACAAAGTGTCTGAGAAAATCATACACAAAGCTTACACATGAAAGCAAGAAATTAATCACATTAACCAAGTTGGGCAAGGACATCATTCAGACTAGATATGGTCGCAGAATAGTACTTCTCTGCTTCTGGGGTGCTCTTAATTTTTGCTGCATGATCCAGCTGTGAAACCAAAACAAAAATAACAACTCTAATTAGTACTCTGAATTTTTACAGAGTTTATAAAAAACAGTGCTGTTAACTTCATCCCTAAAAATTAAAAATTGAGTTTAAACATTTAGAGCATGTTTGATTTACTTTTTGAAAACAGTTTTTAGTTTTTGAAAATAAATTGTATCCAATAAAAACTTAATACATTTGGATGTTTAAACTCAACTTTTAAGATTAAAGTTGACAATTTTTTATTATTTTTCAAATTATAGTAATACATCTTAAATTGAAGTCATAAGTTGTCATGGAATAAAAGATTATTGAACAAGCATGTATATCTTACATTGCTGATGTCTTGGAAGAGCTTGCCAGTGAGTTCCTTAAGGGATTTCTTCTGATCCTTAGGCTTTGCAGCAATGACAGTGTTGAGATCAAAGCGAAGATACTCAGCCCTGAGACGCAGATCCATCTGAACATATGGCCAAGCCTTCTTATCTATGAACTTCTTAACTCCAACAATTTCCTTTGCTGATTCCTTTGCCCTTTGTGCTGCCTCACTTGGACTCAATGGTTGAAGGAAGAACCTTTCTTTCAGTGGCAGCTCAAGGTCCCTTGGTTCATCTGAGTTCAGTGTTCCAGCTGCCATATTCCACAACACACCCAATTCATCATAAATGATATTTACTAAACCCAACTCAATTCTACCTCAAAAATTTCCAACCCCATTTCCATTTTTCATCTTTCATCACTAATCACTTCCACTAATCTTATAATTACATACATATATAGATACACCAGTAATATCCCTCATATAAGAAGTAAAAGGCATAAAGAATTAATCTTAGCTATATAATTTTATAGAAATGATCAAAATTAAATGGATACTTTAAAGAAAACTCTAAAAAATTATATAAAAAAAAATGATTATTTCTTGGAAATAAACCGAACCAAACAAGTAAGAAAGACTCACGCAATCCACCAGAGGGTGGAGGAGGAGGACCAACTTTGATGGATTTGGCTTCAGCAAGAACAGCCTTAGCAAAAGAGGCAGAGGCCAAACCACCAGCAACAAGAGCAAGCACTGCCCTTCGGCTACTTTGTGCCTCACCATTATTAGCTACATTTTGAGCTCTAACAATGAACCCTCCACGTGTAGTTGAGAACACTTTGCTACTAGTACCCACATTCAACCTTGTTGATCCTTCCAACACACCTTGAGAGGAACCACGTAAGCCAGCCATTGATGCCATTGCTTGAGCCATTCTTTCTCTTTTTTTTGTTTTCCCTTAGATAACTTGAATATGTGGAATGTGACAAGAATGAAAGAGAAGCTTGGAATATAATTTTATGGTTCCAAGTGTTGATTTGGATTATGATTGTTGTGTGTGTGATCCTCAATCACTCTTGGGTGTACCTTATCTAACCATTTTCCACTTGGATAAGCTGGATGTGGTATCAACCAATCATGTTGCATCATTTGTGGCTGTCTCGTGACATGCTGGATTGTGTTTCCTATGTGGACTTTTACCACTGTGACACGTGGATTCACAGATTATTCAATTCTTTTATTATATTTTTTTTTCACTTTATATTCTTTTTTATTATTATTATTTTCACTTCGGTTGTCGAAAGCTCAATGAATTGACTAATTTAGGTAGTCCAATCAGCTAGCTAATCGTGAGAAAGGAAACAAAATTGTTTTTTTAGATAAATTATTGTGTATCACTGTCAATTGTAGATAATTAATATTTTATCAAATGGTTCATAAGAACAGAGAATTTTCTTTTTGGAGATATGTGCATTTTTTTTTTGTAACACATACTTAAATATAGTAAAAGTATCTTCTCATAATTGCCCAATTGGTAACAGTAAGAAACCAGTCCATTTCAAGACTCTGTATTATAAGAACTAAACAAATCAAATTCAAGCATTATATTTTTATAATTAATTAAGCTCAAACTTGTAATTTAAATCGCTTAAACAAAAAAGTCATATTTAAAAATCATAATTTCTTTGCAAGCCAAAGTTAAGATTTAAGTGCTCAATTCAACTTATTTTGTGTCTATGCACACAATGACTCTTGTAGAAAGGGCCTGTCTCACTGGCTAGTAAAATTCAATATGAGCCCATTGATGGGGAAGAATATCAGGGAGAGAGAAAAAGAGAAAAAATGAAAGATGGGAATAAAAATTGTCAGTTTATATAAAGAATTGTTTTCTGAATAATATTGCCAATAGGGATCATAATTGTTTTGACTCAATATTACGTATAAACTTTTGAGTACAATTTTCTAGCTATTATAGTCATTTCGTGTACTAGTTAAACTTCACAATGAGAATGATGACCTTTGTTTCCAAGATTAAATAACGGTTTTATTCTATTTAAAAGCACTAAATATTATTAATTAACATAATGTCTTCAATAAGGTCACATTGTACTTGATACGTAGTATTTATTAGTGAGATAAAAAAAAATTCATGGTATAAGAACAATCATTTAATCGTCATGCATCTTTATCTTCTCAATGAAAGATAAAGAACCATAGGAGTTGAACGAGACTTCTTGATTTGGTTAAAGACAACTTTTCTTCACAACCAAAGATAATACGAAGAATAAGATACTTTATTATATAAAATAATGGTTTTATTAACTCTTAGAAATGATTTAATGTATCCAAAAGTGAAAAAAAATTACGTTCCAAAAAATAAGTATTTATTGCCTTGAAAGCATAAAGTGTAACAACTATTATTAATTTTAGACACTTCAAATCAATCTTTTATTTTGACCCATTTGTATCTTGCCATTTCACCTTGCTCTACTTTCTTTTTATGGTGTCACATGTTAATTACAATTTGTATGGAGTGTTCTGTTGATCTACAGTTTTAGTCAGTTTCACTCAATCACAATACAAAAATGTAGACCCAATCTAGACCCGTTCATAATCATGAAATTTTCTTAATATCTGAACAAGCATAACTCAACTGTTGTAAGTTGCAAATGCAAGTTACTCACCTGAATGACACTATTATCAAAAACTGAGCATGTTAGAAGACGACATGATACTCGTTTGAAGTTTTAACTAGCATGAATAACAATTAATAGCCAATAGCCATTGAAAAAATGACCATGGAAGATCAAATAGAATCATTTTGAATTATGGTGTGAGCTCTATAATTGCATTTGAAGAGTTAAGCTAGTGCTTGCACAGAACTTATTTGAGCACCTGTACAAACACAACAAACTAAACAATTTAAGAAAACTTAACAATTCCAGTAACAGTAGTTTCACAAATATTCATTACAATTACTAGTTTTTTTTATATATATGATTCCCAGCAAATTAAGAACTAGTACTCCATTGAGAGCAAAAGACAAGCCTCAATTCTAAAAGTGCCTTCATATTTATTCCAAACTCAACAAATGTGAATTTCTCACAACAATTTCCATAATCCAAAGAAAGATAAGCATCCTACAAAAATACATAAGTTTAATCAAAATTTATGGAAATCCAAATAGTTTAAAAGCATGGGGGGACTCAGATTTTGTACCTCATGATATGGCATCGCATGTGAAGATGCAAGAGAAATGGATCCAATGCAAGGGATATATTCTAGTTCAATGGGTCAACTTGAGAGCTTGAAGGAGGTTCAGGTTGCAATAAGCACCATGATTGTGAACATTCTCGAAAGAGACATCGTTGAAAAAGTGAAAGAAAAATGAAAATATGACCGATTCAGATGAAGAATATACTAGAAATAGAAAATGCATGCATATATGAGCTGCTCTGTTACCCAAATTGGTTAAGTGCCTTGTGGAGTGCAGTGTTACTTTAACGTAAAAGGGAGGCATCATTCTCCAATATCTGAAGCAGAGAAATTGTACTACACAAAATCTATAAATAAAATAAATCACAAAATAAAAAAATTAAACGCTCAAAACTTATCCTCAAAGCAAGGTTCCACATTAGTAGGCTGCAAACATTCAGAAATCCAGAAACAGAATGCCTTAGCATATTTTACAACTCTTCCACCATAGACAAAATATCATTTTTTCTGCAAAATATGAATGCGAAGATTGCGCTGGTGTAACATGCAGCAGAGCTATAATTCCTATGAATTGCACCAAATATTACTCTCCATCATGACATTTCTTATCACTTTTCATACTGGTGATTATAAAATATGGTAACATGGGAAGTTTTCAGGAATGATAAGATGGTCATCTATAAATAGGGCTTCGTTGATTTTCCAGCTTGGGGTCCTTTAATTGGTGTTACAAAATATAGAAGGTAACCCTCTTGGCCTTTCCCTTCCCTAAGCCCCACCCTTCCTAGAGAAGGATATCATGCAGAATTTGCAATGCACAAGTGAATGGATGAATACCGCAAGAACGCAACCAGATTCAAGACTCCAATGTGGAGTTTGCTTTTATTCAGTTCAATATGAAAATGATACATCACTGAGGAGTTCCCTCCAGAATAGATCTTTATATAGGCCTCAAGCATTTGCCAACTGTCTAACAACCTTCCTACATGGCCTAAATAATTCAACTACACCAACACACACAGTCTATTATATTCTTACAATTACAACATAACAAAGGTTGGATTTGTTCTCAGGAGTCAGGACCTTGCACTCACTGGAAAGGAATTTATCAATTGCAATAAATTACCTATAAATGAAGAGTATTAAGTGAGAATTTCTTGTAACCTTTTGACCAACTCGTTGGTTAATAGATAAACAATTAATCCTTACAAGTTACAAGGAAAGGAAATAACGTGAAAAGTCATGCAAAAGTGAATGATACTTAAATTAAAACAAATGTTCCCATCCAATCCACCTCCTCAGCAGTTATACCATTAACTCATTAGGAAATACTTGCACTGTCAGGTTGTTACTATTAACAAATAACAAGTACATTGAGAATTAGGAAACAATTGGGATAATCTCATTTTCTAATTAAGACTTGGTCAAACCTTAAAGAGTCCATATATAAGTTTCTCTGATATCTAATAATAGCTCCTTTGCAAAAAAGTAAGCATATGTTTGTTTTTGCTTAATTTCATTAAAAAACACTTTTTCAGCTACAAGCCCTCACTGCAGCATTTTTATTATACACAAAAGTAAGATATTCCAAAGATGCACTAAGTCCAAGGATCGAATCATCTGAAAATATTTGTTATGAATAAAGTCTAGTAGGGTTAAAGGCAGACTCTCCCCACTCCAAAGGCTAGAGCAAATCACCAATGGGGGTCGCTAGATTCAAACCCAACTGATGCAGTTGTCATGAGCAAAAGATCAACCACATGAACAAATCCCCATTGGCAATGTCTGAGAAGCCTTTAAAGTGTAATGAAGTATTATTATGTATATAGCTGTATCTTCATAGTTATCTGGCCATTTAGTAGTTAGTACCAAATAGTTCACCTACCCCTTATATAATCACTTTGAAGACGAGCAAAACTAAAGGATCTGTACAAATTCAATGTGAATAATTGCAGGAGTTCATACACAACAGTAAAAAACATGTTCATTGCACTGGCAATTTGCTTGGATAGGATTGCTCAAACCAATGTTTCAGAGCAGCTGGGTGAATTTTAAAAGCGCGAGCAACAAAAGTCTTGTTGCTGGATGCAATCAGGGATGCAATGGAATACTTTTTGGAAGACAGACCCTTTTCTAAAAGCCACATATGGAATCTGTACCTAGGCTTAATGCGGTTCTCTAAGTCAAAGCATAAGAATGCTGGAAAACTGACCAAGTCCTCTACTGACTTCCCCATTTCCTGACAGAAGAAACTAATCTTCTGCTCTAAAAGTTCAGGTTTATGGTTTAGAATCCTAGGACAAATGCTGATCATCTTAAAGACCTTCGAGAATTCAATCCCTAAATGTAGAAGGCAATCAAATCTTGTTTTTAACTCGCCACCTGTTCCATGCAAGTGACTAAAGACATTCATGGTCAAAGCATTTTCTCCAAAGCCAATGGCAAGCAAGAAATTCAACTTGCCGATACAGTGGGCCGAGGTTCTTGAAGCACGAATTTTCTCTAAACAACTTAGATAACGTTTATCTAGGTTTTCATCGGGATAGCTTGCGACATAATTTACTAACAACATATGATTCCCATCCTTAATTTTATCAAAGAACCATTCATTTAAACCCAAAGCCTTCATTACATTGGGCAGATTAGCCATTCTTATCGTTCCCAATGCATGAGCGTAATTCGTCCTAACATCCTTAACACCATTGGAGCTCATTCCAAAGTGTTTCAACAGCTTCAACACATTAATTACCTGCATCTCCAAATCAAGACTCAACAACTCCGAGCTCTCTAGAATCAACCGAGCCAGTTCCTCCTTCTTTGCCCCGAATCTACTGAAAAACCCAGCTGCTTGGACTAACTCCCCTTCTCCATGCTCAACAATGACATGCTTATTCCTTCCAATGACCTCCCCAATCTTACCAATACCACCATTCAAATCATAAAACACCTTGATCTTCCTACACACCTCATACCAAGCATCCACATTCCCCTCAACACACCCTTCCAAATCAAAGTCCAAAAACACCAACCTCAAATCAGCAAGCAAAGCATCAATCTCACTACCCAATTGACCACCGAACACAGAAGGGAAAGCCAAACACACCCCCATAACCTGCACATTGCAAAAACCATACCTTTTGAACCAACAGAGCCTACCCTTCAACTCAGAAGCACTCCATTTGAACACAGAACCACACTCAACATACAACACACCAAGCTTATCCCATGGAAACCCAAATTCAGAGAGAGCACAAGCAGCATCAAAAAGAGACTCATCTTCAGAAAAGAAGTACTTGTTGTGGGGCCAGAGGGAAGGGTGGTGAGAGGGGTGAATGCCAATGCTTTCAAAGAAGAACTCAAATTCATTGATGGGGTTGTACCTGAGGAACTTGTTAAGGTTGTTGGGGAAGTTGGAAGGTGAAAAAGTTCCCAACTTGGTGATGAGGTTGGTGAGGGAAAGAAGAGAATTTTTGGCAATTTGGTCAGCATAGACATAAGGGATGCACCTTGTGGCATGGAGGTACTCAGTGAGGGCTTGTTGCCCTCTTCTCACAGCAACCTTTCTGTACCTCCAAGGAATACTCGATGACTTTGAGGTTGTCGTGGTGGTGCAAAGATGCCGGTGAAGGAACATCATGTTCTCTTCTTTGCCTTTGTTTTATATGTTTAAGGGTTCACTCACTCACTGCTCCTCTCTTATGCCGAGGGTTAAACCCTCAACATTTTCGGGCTTTCAAAGATGACACATTAGAATTAAAACTCGGGAGATATTGAAATTAAATATGAAAAACAAGCGTAGCAATGGTTATGTTTTTTTTTTTTTTCTTTGGAAAAATATTTTTTTGGTCCTTGTTTTATTTATAGATTATTGTAAAAATGCGGTGATATTTTTTATTTCGTTCCCTAATTTTAGATTTTGAATAAGATGAGATTAATTTTTTTTAAAAAAAAGCATCTTTTTGTTGTTTCATATATAAGTTTTAAAAAACAGATAACGAAGAAATAAATTATAATTTTTTAATTATTTATATAAATAAAAAAATATGTTTTAGATCATGTCCTTCTTTTTTAATAAAAGAAATATATATTCATCATTTCTAATCTGCATTTGGTTAATAAAAAAATATGTATTTTATCAATCAAATTAATGGTTAAAACTATCAATTGGAAGATTGAAGGAGAATTTTAAAAAGTTTATAAAACAAATTGTAAAAATTCGTTATGAATTTTATAAATTTTTAATTCATTTTAATAAGTTTACTAATATAAATTATTATAATAATAATTTATATTAAAAAATTATGATTAAATTTATAATATATGCATTCTTATATTAAATTTTGATTAAGTAAATGTTTAATTAAATTGTATAACAACACACGGTTACTTGATGAAGAAAATGTTCACTCAAAAGCTTGACAAGTAATTTTCATCGTTTAGTAATTAATATGATCAATATTTTAGATTTCATCATGTGATTGTTTTATTTTTTACTCCCAATATTGTTTAATGTTAGTGTTTTCATAGTTTATTTTAAATTTAAGTAAACTTTATTCAATATCTATTTGCTTAATAAAAAAATTTTAAAAATTGAAAGTTCAGAAGAACATATATTGTAAAGAGTATTTATTGTCATACTCATATATTTATTTTAATTTTAATTTATTTTTTATATATAAACTATTTTTTATTAATATAGTTATAAAAAAATATATTTTATATAAAAATCACTTTAAAAAAGAGTGATAATATAATAATAATAATAATAATAATAATAATAATAATAATAATAATAAATTATAAGAAATAAAATACATTATGCATTAGATCTAAAGAACTCAATCAGGTCAAATATGTTGTAAGAACAAAAAAGCTATATGCATTAGTGTTCTTAGATATACAATTTAAGAGATATAATTTGTGTATATTTATTTGACATGATTGAGTCCTTGAAAAGGGAACATAGTTGTCATCTTAAAGAAAATGGGAATCAAATTTGTGACACTATTGGGTTAGGGTTCATCAGTGTTGGGCCTTGGTTGACCCATGAGTTAAACAGGGCACCTTTTCTTGAGCCCACATTTAAACATGCGGTAAGAAACATACCAGCTTTACTATATCTTTCTATATATTTTCCTAATAATTTTTTTTATTTTATAAAATATATCTAATAAAAATTTATTTTTTTAATATGAATGCATTTGTTTTTATATATTAAATGGGTTTTTTTATTGTTATATACAGATATTTTTAAAATTATACTATATGTGACTATTTTTAAAATTTTTTATTTTTAATCATATCATGTGAACTTTCTTGCATTGATTTTTCATTTTTTTAAAATTTTATATTTTTAATTTAATTTAATTTAATATAATATAATATTAACTATCAATAATAAAAATATTAATTTCTTAAGTTATAGAATTTATTAAGCTTTAAAAAGTACATGATATATATTTAATTTTTATATTAAAATATTTTATTTAACAATATAATTAATACTAGTATTTAAGATTAATTTTAAGAAATTAAAAGTAAAAGTATTTGTTAAAAGATAAAACATATTTATATTTAAATTCTCAAAATGGAATTTAGAAACTGATATTTAGAAATGAAGAAAAAAAGGAAAAGAAATGAGTGGAGCAGAGAAGAGAAGAGTGGGGCCCACGAGAGATGGTAAAGACAGATGTTCTGACTTCTGACTTTAACTTTGCATCGCACGCACGCTCGGTGGGTCCCACCCACCCATTTTCAACTCTTCGCATGCAACAAAACCATCCTTCCAAATTCAGCCCCTCTCTTATTTAACCATAAATTATAATTTTATATTCTATTTTTAAAATATTCATAATATTAAATAATTAAATTAATATTTTATCTATATGATAAATAGATATATATACTTCAATATATAATAAGTGAATATTTTATTTATATAAATTTTATAATTAACAAGAGTATAAAAATAATGTAGTAATTAATACATTTTAAAATTTGTTTATAACTAAAAGAAAGCTTTATAAATAATTTTTTCTTATTCAAATTAAAAATATTTATATTCAACTCATATGATTTAAAGCAAAAATATATGGTTAAAAAATTATTTATACATCACTTAAATTAATTTTTTTAATATTGAAATAAAATTTAAGTATAATATTATAATTATTTTTATGATATTTTTAATTAAAATTAAAATTCGATCTCAATAATTCATGTACTAAGGATTAGTATGTCATTCTAAACTAAAACTTTAATCAAAATAATATAAAAAATACATATAATATTATAGTGGTAAAGTACAAAAATCTTTTATCCAATTTTAGAAAAATTATATTAAAAATCACGTTTAAAATATTATTCAATTAGTCAATAAAATATTTAAGATAATAGTGGGAGAAAACCAGATGGAGAGGGAGAAGAAATACATTTTACATAATAAGTAAATCATTAAAAAAAGGCATATTATTATTATCCCTTCAAAATATATAATAAGCATATTTCCTACACATCTTTAGAGGGAAGAATGTTTGTTCATGTTTGCTTACAAAATTTGGTGCTGAATTTCATGAGCTCTACACTGTTTGAATTGATTGCCCACATCATGTTAGCTCCTCTATTCTACCCAATGCTCAGAGTCAGAGTGTAGCTTTTGATATGATTTTATCTTATTTTCTGGCTGGTAAATAATTTTTTACCAATTGGGTCATTTTATTAGTGAATCAAAATTTGTCAATTGACTTAGTTTATCACCGGTTAATATAGCTAAATAAGACTTTGTAAAATCCAAAGTAATTCTCATCTTATCAACTAGTTTAAGGTTGAGTTAGGCTTCAAACTTAAATTCAACATAGTATTAGATTCTATTATGGTGTTTCAGTTTTATTAGTAAATTGATTTATTATATTATAAAAATAGGAAATAGAAAAAAAAACTTATAGAGAGAAGACCATTTAAATTTCTAACTTTCTTTTATAATTAGCAGTTAAAATTTCTAACAATCAACAAAACAAAATAATCTTTTGAGCCTCTTTATATATTCCAATTATTTTTACATAGTACGAATTGACTAAATAAAAAGTAAAAGAAGATGAAACAAATTTGAAAAAAAAAAAAACACTGATACTAATAAATTAAGATTTGGATAATGAGGAAAAAATGCAAAGGTAGCATGAGACAGAATAATAAAGACTTAACTGACAGAAAAATTTAACGCGAGTGTTAATTATTTAATAAGAATTTATCTTATTTTTATTTTATTTAGATTTAATAAAATATGATGAGCTTATTTTATAATTTAATTTTTTCAGTATTAATTTAAGATTTCAGTTAAAAATAAATATGGTAAAACAATATAATATATTTGTTATTTTAATTAACAATAAATCTAAATAAAGGAAATTCAGTGCTTTATTTGAAAGTTAATTTTAAAGAAGAAGAAAGAAAGAGAAATTTTATTTCACCGTAATTTTTGTTTAAAAATTTTTAAACATAAACAAAATATTTTATAAATTCTCTAAAAAAATTATTAAATCAAATTTTAAATTTATTTAAATTGAAGTTTTTTTATTAATTCTTTTTTTTCAATTTTTTTCTTCTGTTTCCTTACTCCTAAAATTAAACCATTCTTTTCTCCTTTCTTCCAAATATTCAAACACTAAAACAAAACCATATTTTATAGAGATTCAAAAGTGTCAAGAAATGAATTGCTACGATCATATGGTGTTGCCACCAAATGTTAATTCTTCTCACTAGCTACAGTGTGATTATAGAGCATACTACACTTCTAGTTGAGTGGACCCATAGTAGCTAATGCTTAATCTATTGGATCAAAGTTATACATGCCATTGTGGTAGACGTTCTACTATTAGATGTTTTGAATATGAAATAAACAAAAATTGGCTGTACTATAACTGTCAAGAAAAAGTGTGCATGTACATTGAATGAGTGAAGCCATTAGATGCTGGTAATATATTGAGAAAAGAACACTCCAATGAAGCAACATCGCATGAAGGGGTTGTGAAATTTAAGGAGTTAATTCAAGTTAAATATGATTTGGTCGTTATGAAGTAGAAGTTGGAATCATGCAATCAATGTGAATGTACTAGGATTGGCTATAGCTATGTTGTGAATTAGTAATTTTTTTGCATTTCTTCACATTGAATCTAATGCATAGTACCCTCCCATGTGTTGTGGAGAATTTGACTAAATTTTTAATGTATCAACTTTCAATTGGAATTTAAAAATTGTGTGGCTCTGTCATATTTAGAGAGAAGGATGATGAGAGCATTATCATAAAGCAAGACAAACATAAAGCAATCAACCATAATAATGCACTGTTAGTGTAGTGCAAAATAAACACAGTTATACAACATTTATATCTCCACAAGTTATGATCCTAAACATAGTTACAAAAGCTCCATAATAGGGATTAGCACACACTAGCAAAAAACATGGTTATAAAAGTTGTTGACTTGTTGTCTCCAAATTACGTTATGGCTGTCAAATTCCCAAAAAAAAAAAGTGAACAAAAACTCATATTTGCTAATCTTTCTACTTTTAGCTTCCTTGTGTGTTGAAAATGTGCAAAGTGGTTGGTTGATGTCGTTGTTATTAATTCTTGACTCAAGTGCCTCTACTTTTGGTAGCAAATTTGATCACAAGCTTCCTCTTAGCTTGCTTATAGCCCCACCTTTGGGTGATGTTGATGCTGTTGAATATTGACTTTGGGGGTGTAGATCCATTG